GTGAGCGAAATCGTGCGAATTCGTGCGAAATTACTATTATTATTATTATTAGTAGTAGTAGTATTATGTGGTGGAAATACTTGCAAACTACAGATAACTACAGGAAGTAACTACAGTATTGTATTTTGTATTGTACAGTATATCGGGACAGCTGTATGTGTACATGTGCCCGCGCTTGTAGTCTTTTTGTGAATTCGATGGATGGTTAATGCCTATTAGAAATAAAACTCTACGTGTAGTATTGTACTAGAAAAATGTCATAATATCAGCCCAATTTGATTCCGGACTGTATTTTGGCAAAAAAAAGGAGCGTGGCGCGGTACATAATCTATATAATTACAGCATGTATACTCCGACGTTTCTTCGCCTTCGTGAATGCGCGAAACTGCAGCAAATGTTCAGAAGGCGTTTTCCATCGGTGGTGGAAGAACGGATCAAATTGAATATGTGTTAAAGAACTTTTAAATCCGCGAAACTTTGTTTAAAGCTGAACATAAACTGACTAATAAAAATCTTTCAGCTTTTAGCAGTGTATGCTGCGTATCTGTACGCTTACACTTACACAAACTTTTATCATATCTAACGCCAGGAACATTTAAGCTATTTTTTATTTAACAACTAAAACATGACACTAAACGCAAACTGCAATGAACAACGAACTCGCAAGGGTTAAATTACAACCAAGAAAAATCCAAAGCTGCCAACAAATGACACCCAATTCCAACGACCAATCAAACGATTAAAACAGCAACCATGATCAAAAGAATAACATTTCCCCATATGAAAAATGGAAGAGCTAGGAAGAGAGAAAAAGGCACACAACGCACAAAAGTGTCTCGACATTAAAACGGTTAAAATTAAAAATTAGAAAAATACAACGCGTATATATTGTAGATGCCATATTTGCCGATAAAACTAGAATATTTCCGTTTATTTTAAAATGCTCTCTTCTGTCGTGTTTTCACATATCCGCTCCGTCATCCGTCTGTCCCTCCTTATTGGACCTACCGGGCGATGTCGGTTTAAATGATTTGTAAATTGTGGTTAAAAAATGAAAGGAAAAATTCGCAAAAAGAAAAAATCACAAGCCAGAGAAAAAAACCAGCAATTTTAGGGAAAAATTCTAAGTCATCATTAATTTCTGTAAATTCTAACGAGGTAGAAAGCTTTCTCACCGGTTATAATAATTTCACAATAAGAAAAACAAACGGATTAAAAATCTCAAATTTTGAAACAACACTGCTAAAAATTACAGCAAATTTCAGATAAAACGATGTGAAAATTTCCAGGAAAAAAATTAAAGAGAAAATTCTAGTTTTTACACACCGGCTAAAAAATATCAGGAAAATGCAGAAAAATTACAATTATTTTTTTAATTTTTTTTTATAAGAGGGATAATATTTTTGGATGCAACAGGAGAGGATAACGCCGTCGTAGTGATCCCGTTGGGCTGTCCCACCAGTGACCTCTCTCGCTCTTTCGCCGCTTACCCGTACAAGCGCTCGAAGCAGTTGTGGCACCATGGTTTCCCGGCGTGCTCCTTAAAAGTCCCTTTATTTAAGGGCCGCACGCAGTATGAGCAGACAAAGTGATCCGGGTGGAATTTCTTGCCCATGGCCGTGATGCAGCGGCCGCTGATGGGCTGCTGACAGGTGCCACACACTGAACCGCGCTGACTGTGGTAGTGCTGCTCGCAGTACGGCCGACCGTCCAGCTCGAAGAAGCTGCCGCTCTCGAAGGGTTTGCGACAGTCCTGCAATTAAAGAAAAGGAGTCTTTAGAACAACGTTGAAATTTCTCGAATTTTTTTACAACAAAATATCTGTTAGACTATTTTCAGCTGAACTGTATAATTTTTTAGATATTTTTCAAATTTCTTTTCGGCTCTCGTGTTTTAAGATCGCGTGCATAGCTTCGACAGAATTTATTTTTACCACCAATACGTATACGTTAACGTTTACGTTAATTGCCTAAAACTATAAAAAATCTTATATGTTTATCTAAATAAAGTATGTATACTTATATCTATATGTATACTTTTAGTATGAACTGGCTGTCAGTCTGAGCAAATGTTCGCGAATAAACGGTGCAATGATGTGTGCAATCTATGAGCGCGGGACTAATTCCAAAACTGTAAATTATTATTATTTATATTACGCTTTATCAGAGTGATTTTTTCCCGAGTTAATTATCTGGCTGAGGCCGTCTGCGTTGTTGTTTGTGTGCATACTACTGCTTACAGTGCAAACAAAACAATCGCGATGCCACTGCGCGTCGAGGGCGGTGAGGTAGGTGCCGGAGATGGGCTTCCGGCAGCCCTGGCACTGCGGCGCGAAGGAGGCCAGATAGCAGTTATCGCAGAAGGGCCGGCCCTCGCGCTCGTGGAAGGGCTCCTCGCCGAAGGCGGTGTTGCAGCGGGCGCAGCAGAAGCACTCCGGATGCCAGGAGGCCTCCAGGGCCGTGTAGCAGGTCTACAATCAGCCACACGCACAAGCACACAGCCACCGATACAGCGAGAAATCAAACACGAACAACAAGCGGCCAAGAGTTGCGCATGCAGTGCAAGACAATTCCCCCAACTGGATGCCGCTTACTCGGCACGATTTTTCAGCTCTTCGATATAAAATTTGTACAGATACGCCTTGTATTTAACAGGATTTAATCCAAATTAATTTTGAGAAAATCTTTACACAGTTGTTCTTTGTCACGTAGAAAAATAAAGTATTGTGTCAGATTGTAGTACAGTGCCTGTCACGTAAACGGCGCACAAAAAAAAGGAAAGGGTCTTAACATGGTCACAAAGTCAAGTCCATTTTCCTCTTCATGCAAATTATTTTTCTTCAACATATTTTAAAAATATATTCTATTAAAGTTACATATACATATATACTTTTTTTTCTACAGATAAAAATTCTAGTCCAACACCCCTTTAGTTAGTTTCTTCATACATATACAGATACTCGTACTAGTAATGCGCTTTCGAAGGTTCGGCAGAATTGTCTTGCATGCACGGCCAGGTAGGATAGGTTAGCCATGGTTAGGAATAATAAAGAAAGAGAGAAATTCAACGTCTACTCACGTCCTTAATGGGACCTTTGCATTTCTGACACTTCATGGCGAACAGTTCATGATAGTCTCGCTCGCAATAGGCCTTCCCAGCCTTCTCGAAAAACGGCTGCGTTCTCAGAGGCGTATCACAATGAGCGCACCGGAAGCACTCAATATGCCATACTTTCCCCAGTGCAGTAATCACCTACATCCATATACACAATATTCAGATACAAAAAATTGATATAATTATTTATTAACCAACAGTATTTCCACGTGTGCCGTTTGATTAACTGCGTAATTTATGTAAATCTCCGCCTACTTATTTTCACGTCGCACTACACCGGTTTTTTCCTGAATTTACAGAAGCTGACTAACAGTAACCACTACTGACAATGGTTTAACAAATTCCCTGAGAAACAGATTCCCAAATTTCAGTAACTATTTCCTGTCAGAAACGTCTAGAATGTACAACAGGAATTTTTTTAGAAAACTCGAATCTAGTGCGTCATAAACTGGAAACGCTAAAAACCCACTCAGTGAATTCGCCTTTAATAAAGCAACCAGAATGATAATAATTGTGAGCAACTGTGAATTTCAACACAATTTATTTACGGTGTATTTTATCAACCGGAACCGGCGAAGGAATTCCCGAAAAATTTATTAGTTAGAGAAATATTGATGGTTTAATAATGGATCTGGAAGAATTTTCTCTGTGGATATATTTCTATGCACTTTTGATAGTAAGTACACAGTATTATGTACGTTTTGTATGTTATCCGGCAATTTCCCTAATTCTCTGCCGCACCGTACAAACCATCACGGGTACATGGCTGTAATTTGTCTGACACGTAAAAAATAACAAACAAAACAGATGTTAGTAATGCGGCGGCCAAGCAGCAGTGCGCCAGCAGCAGGCAGGCAGCAAGCAAAGCAGCGCGATCGCGATGCGGCAACGCGTGCTCTCAGTGACAAAGCATGCGGACGCGTCAATATTCCACCCAACAGGACGGCATCAGCCAGCCAGAATACTAATCATACGACTCGGAAACAACTTCAACTCATAGACGTAAGATATTTTTCCTCAATTGGACGTCAAGAATAACCAGCTAATCCTCAACACAATCCCCCGGCTAATCGAACGCAGATGATGGAAAAAAGTGACAAATTAAACGGGAAAATCGTGTACTGTCCCAAAGTGGGTCGCGCAGAAGGATAAATAAACATCCCCGACACATCATAACAGTAACATTACGGACGGGACCATGGAATGCGGTATATTTACACCGCCGGCACATTACGGCCGCATTTTTCGCGCCCTATCGTAATGGATGTCAGTGGATTTTAATGTCAATAATGTCATGAAGAAAATATCCGCTATTTTAACCGCGATTACCACCCTCAAAATTCCATTTGTAATCGTTAAACATTAAATACAATGAACTCCGAAAAATAAAAAAAAAACCGGCTTCGTTTTCGCATTTCCAAAATTTTTTCTGAAGCTTCCAAATTCTCTTTCAAACGAAAAAAATAATTTAATAAAAATTAGGCAATAATTAATTTCTGACTTTATGTATATTTTCCACTGCTGGAAAAAAAACTGTAGTAAGAATTACCAATTCATGACACAAGTAAGTATTCTGTAAAATAATCATACATATTCTATCTTTTCTGGCTATTCATTTTCCAGTATACAGCTACGTTTTTTCTACAGTTTCCCACCTATTTGGTTATTTTTGTTCATTTTTTTAATTGCATTTTTTGGCTATTTATTTTCCAACATAAACATAGCTTTCTACAGCTCACTGGCTATTTATTCTCGTTTTTTCTGTTGCTGTTATCTAAAAAAAGGTGATAAGCGCGCGCCTACCTGGCCGGAGACGGTCTTGTTGCAGGCCGCACAGGTGTTGTTGTCAGAGAGGTCACTGGTGCGCGATGTCGCTCCGCCGCGGTCCACACTGTCCCGGTTGTGGTTGCTGTCGCTGAGGGGACTCCCGCGGTTCACCGCGCCCTTATCCCACACGTCGCGGGCCGGCGACGGCGATGATCCCGTGTAGTTGCGCTGCGTGCTCTCCGTGAAGCGACTAGTGGTGGTCGCCTGGTAATTCGACGACTGATTGTTGTTGTTTTCCTGCAACAAACACACCCGTAAAAACTCCATGCAGAATTAAATACACGTGTATAAAACATTGTAATTATTTATTTTTATATTATTTAAGTTGTGTCATGTCACGCTTTAAATTAAATCAAAATAATTAATTTATTCAGATGTTACTGTATCTTAATTTAATCTTATCTGAAGTAAATAACCAAAGTAGCCGCAATCAGCGGAACAAAATAAACGATAACGTTCTGAGAATCAAAATTCTAGTATTTCCATAATTGTGCTTGAGCACTGCAATATTTATTCGTATTAATTTTTGTATCGGGCGACAGGCGGTAGCATTTTTTAGTATTTTCTTAAATCCCAGATTTTAAATTATATATTTTCCTGCTTCGTCGGCAGAGGTTTCTTATCTATCTGTACTGTATAGAAAAGCGTTAAAATTTAACAATTTTATATTAATCTGCAAATACAGGATTCGTTCATGAAGCATTACGGTAAATGTTTCCCACCACAAGGAAACTAATTTCTCATTTTACGAACACATCTTTTCCCGGCGTCAGCATAACGATGCGGTCTACAGTCGTCAATATATACCGGTAGCCGTAAAACACTGGCTGCATATGAAAACCGCATTTGCTGATGTAACGCCAAATTACTCGTATCTGGTATGTTCACCGCTACAGCAGCAAACTGGCTGAGTGGGGATCTTATCGGTCCATAAAAGGTCTCGTTACAGCCACTGCAACTATCGCTCCAAACCAAACAAACACACTGCTACTCCAAACGTCACGGCAGACGCCCACGCGCACTAGACGACATATGCTGCGCGGACCGAGAGAAAACGCTGTGCGAATTTTACGAGACGTGCAGAGGCGTGCAGTAATCCATTTGTTTTTTCCTTAACGAAGGCCAATTGCCCAAATTAACTCCCGGCGTAGCGGCCACTCAACTTAAATGCAATGAGCATTTTCTAACGATTTTAAGTATCAGGGAACTTTTTTAAATATTTCTGTAAGAATTTACGGCATTAATATTAGTAAAATCCCCAAAAAATGGCGATACTGGAAAATTATTTTTGAATAATCATTTTCAAGTAATTTTTCTATAAACTTAAGTTTTTAATAAAATAATAATGTTTACTGTTTTAATCATGTTTAAGTATCCGGAATTTTCAAGAAGATGACTGTCGTTGGAATTTAAAATGTTAAAATACTGGCACGCAAAAAAATGACAATACTGAAAAATCCTTCAAAAAAATTAAAATTTGTATGAAAATTTACACCGTTTCAAGTGTAAAATCTGGAGAAAATCTGCATTTTTAATGAGGCGGTATGCGTTGACATTTGACAAATTGCATAACATGACCGACGAGCACAACGAGCGCGCGGGGAATGCAGCGCCGACATACATGGTCCGAAAGTGACATTGTTAGGCCCATAACACCGCCAATTCAATGCCGACCAGCCGGAACCGCTAATAAACAAATTATACAACACGGATAATCGATGCGATTAGCATTTCCAGTTTAAGCCGCCACTTAAACGCACACCGACTTTTAACTGACTTTCTCACAATTTCCCATTCATCGCTGTTTTGTATTTGACGAGCATGCACCGCAAAAAAATCAGAAAAACGATTTATTTTTCCAACATATCTTGAACTGTATTCTAGCAAGGCAGTAATTTCAATGCTCCTCAGCTTTTACAAAATTTTGCTGATTAATTCTGGTATCGCATAGATCATCAAAAAATGTTAAAAATTTTATTCGACTGCATAGAAATAATGTCAGTGAATTCAAGTTTTTTTGGCACTTAAACAAGACTTACTTACTCCAGCAACTACGTGCCACTGCACTACGATAGCTTCAAACTACATCTTTCTACCGTTCGTTAATATTCTAACAAATTCAAACGATTCCATGAATTCTTTAATTTAATTATTTAAAAAACAACAAAATAAATTCCACAAAAATCAGGGTGCTAACAATTTCAAAAAATTCTTAATCCAGCATCGTGCAAGATCGTACTGACCACTTTGAAGTCGTTGAGGGAGGCCATGAGGTCGTCCAGCTCCTTGGTGGCGCCGGACGCTCCCCCCGGCCGTCCGCCGGGCTGCATTTTGCGGTGCTGGCCGGGCGATTTGGGCCGGCTGACCAGCGGGGACTGCGAGCGCTCCTCGCTGCGATCACTGCGATCCCGCAGCGGACTGTCCCGGTCCCGGTCGCTCATGGTCATCGTCTTCTCCGACATTTCGAACGAGTGGGTGACGCGCGTTCCCGGTGCGTACACACGAGTACCTGTAAATAAATTAATCTTTCAAATCTCAGCCACGATAATTACGCTCATTTTGTTTGCAGTTGTTCGCTGTTTTTCTAAAATGATAATTTTCTAAACTGCTTGATCTCCTAGTGAACGACAGTTTTTCCCAAATAATGCTCGATGAGCAAACACAGGCTTCATTCACTAGCGACTTCATTAAAACGTATAATATTCCTGGGAATATTTATATTTAAAATTTAAGCATGCCATTAAAATTCCATGGCGAACGCGTTCAACAGCAATATTACAAAATTATCAATTAAATTAGCAGCTGACCACCCATCGTTATTTGTAGTTAAACCATATAATAAAACTGCACTTTTTTTGCATTTCAAATAGCATATATTTTTTCAGTAATGTAAATGTGTTTCCTATGTAAAGGGACGCGGGGAATTGGTCTCCGCAAAAATCAGAAGGATCAGAAGGTCACTAGGATTACAGAAGATCCATGAAATCTAGCATGTAAACAAAACCTCCTTTGAATAAATATCACCGTTATTCATATTTTCACAGTAAAGGTAAGAAACGCTAACCAAGTCTTTTTCCCATGAAATGATGACGAATTAAATATAACTATATAAGTGCAAAATATGTACGTACAAAATAAGTTCAAACAGCATCTAATTAAAGTTCATCAGTTTATTCAAATAATAATTTCATAAAACACTCAATTTACATTCAATTACTTTAAATTCTCAAAATACTCAAATGGAGAGTCATAAAACTGCGTAGTTATTTTGTGTTGATGCTATCAAGTGCATGCACTTTTCGCCAGTCAGACGATCCCTGCCAGACAGACAGTCAGACACTGACGCAGACATTGAAAAAATGAAAAACGGAATATTTCTGACACCCATAATCCATTAAAAAATTTACACGAAAACAGAAATCACTGGAATATTTTTTGACAGAAAATCCATTACTCTCATTACAGTCACTCAAAAAGCAATAAATTATATTACGGATTAAATCATTACAATCAAACCGATCGACAAAATTTAATTTCAATTCGCAAAATTCAATTAAATTTTACTTTACCAAATTAATGTAATTTGACGAACCTTTCTGCATGGTTAAGTCAAAGTGACTCGAGTTAAACAGATAAAATGAATTCGAAGTCCGGATAGCCAAAACTGACACTAATCACGAGAATCAACTGCACAATGTCTTATCCTCGAAAAAATTTCAACAAACTACATTCAGCACATCCACGAGGAATGCCCACACTGAAACGCATGGGAACGCTGCAAGAAAATAGCTGCCTACAATTGACAAATCGTGAGCGAAAATGGAAAATCCCTGCGTCAGCTATTGACACTGACCGATCTCCAATCACAACTTCAAAGTCAACCCCATCCCTTTGCCTTGGTGAACAATCACGCAATTCAGCAATTTCCCCGGACCAAATTATACCCCACTCTACAGTACATACACACACGCACTCACCTCCTCCGGTGGAACGCCGCGCAGAATCCAAATCCGACATTAACGCGTCCAGATCGCTGATGTTCGACATGGCTGCGATTTTCTAACCTGTTCTGTTAGAGAACCGTTCTGCTCGTCCACACACACACGCAGGCGCTGACAGACAAACACGTACACGATACACCCAAGAGAGAAAGGAAAACAGATGAATCTGCCAATTTTATTACATCACGACATGGAGGGAAAAAAACAGCGTAGGGCTTCGGCTTGGCAAAGGGAGAATGTGCAAAGAAATGGAGAGAAAAGTTGGGAAATGCAGCGATGAGTTTGTGCAACACTGCATGAATCGAGTGGGACGGTCGGCTGCGTGACTAATCAGCAGGGATTGCCAATTCCAATAGCCCGCGATGCCAATTACACTGGAACTGGTTTTTCGCTCTTTCAGTATAAATTTGCAATGAAATCTGTTTGTCAATAAATTCTTATCTGCGCATTACAAGTCCATTATCTCCTCAAAAATTAATTAATGAACGTTTTAATTTTATTTTCGATCTGACTGACTTTAAATAAAGAGTAAACAGCTTCCAGACTTGAAATTTGGCTGTGCTCTGAAAATCGCAAAGAAAATGGAACTGTGCATGTACTGCATTGAATTCCAGTGTAAAGTGGAAATTACGTGTGGACCGGAACTTTCACAGAGAATTCGTCTGTCCAGCATCATTTTGCCCGGATATAATCTATTTTCGTGTAGCACGAAAATTAAATTAAAAAGCATTTACCTTCATTCATTTATTGTTTGTTTTTATTGTTAATTTAAAAGTGGAAATAATCGAATTTTAATCTAGCTGTAATGCGGAAGCGATTTCCAGATAAACGTTGTCCGTAAAGCCGAAAACGTAACGAAAGTGCAATGTCAGTGCGGCGGCCTGGCCTTATTTGGAATGTTTACAGATGAGTAGCACGAGGGTGACTCATGTTTTGAGTGCATTGCCGAACGAGCCGTAAAAGCCGGTTCAGCCTGCTATATATCGCAATCTGGTTTTATTAGCCATGCCGAAAAGCCGGAACATGTAATTTACTGCACATTACACAAGTCGGCAACAGCAGTGTTACAGTGCTAGGAATTACAGCACGCAGAAGAATTTGGCGGTATGGCTTATTATTCCAACAAACACAATATCTGCATCGAAGGTTTTTCACGATTTTTTGCGTTTTAGTATCTGGAGAATTAATTAAACAACCACTATCATCAACGCTACAGGGCAGCGAAAGCCCAGAAACATGGTTACCCAAAACTTGTTGCTTGAATTAAATAATATACCTTATAAGGTCATTTACCAGTTCCTGTACCACCATTCGCATGTGCTCTCATAATCATAATCTCATTCTCCTGCGCGCTCCCAGTAATTAAAATTTTCTTACGATTATTACTGGAGCCTGGAACCGACGGAAATAGAAGCAAAATATACCAGGAACAAATTTTTCAGAAACAAACAACGGACAAATATGTCTGTGACGGGAATGATTATGTGTAAATGCGCACCTACTTACCTAGTACTGTTATAGTACTAGTGTATATTGCTAGTACTGCACGACGATGCAGTTGTTATTACATACGAGTTGTTCTCGTTAAATATATTATATATACGTAAGCTGGCAGTAAAGTTTTTACGCTTTGCGTGTTTCCAAGTGTTTGAGATACCGATTAACACTATCATATGCGCACATGACGCCGATGATAACAACGGTACATGTGAAATAAGCAATACCTCGTACCCCTAACGCTGTCCCTTCTCGGATCGGATCACATTCATCACATCTTTGACCCGGCACGTGCTGACCTTTGCTGAAGGCGCGCTATTGTAGTCGCAATACAGTCCCGGTATACGGTCCGGTAAACGATACGGTGGGACACCGTATCGGAACCGTATCGTTAGCACATTGGAGCTGTCGCACTCATCACAAACGGTGTACGATACAGTCGAGTCATGCTTTCGTGAAGAAAGGTGAAAGTTTCAATCAGCCTTGGCACTTTTGTATGAGATAAACTGCGTCCAGCTGTAAGTCATATCAAAACTAAAATTCCAGATTATTTTTCGATATCAGAACATCTAAATTTGAGCGCCAGTGAACGTTTCTAGGAGCATTTTTAATTAACACAGAAGTCTACGGAGTCTGAGTGAACAGCTCGCGCAGAGTACTCCAACTGCTCCGTAAGCTTAGCATGGTAAACGCAAATGTCTGCAGAATCGTGAATTTTTGGACAAACCGCTCCCACTTGGTATCAAAAAACATCAAATAATTTTATCCTTCTTTTGATTTACTTTGCTGGTTAATCAAGAATACTTAAAGCTTACTCTACCAATTCAAAAATTTCGTGTTTTGGCAACTGCAGCCGTTGTTATGGAGGCCACCGCCACCGCGAGTGGTTGCTATATCGCTGAGCGCAACGGTATGCTTGACGATATCTGAGCCTTTTACCGTCAATCCTATCGTCAAACGGTCCGGTAAGGGTACGCTGTGATGACGTGCAAGAGCCTACCGTATATCGTACCGTCTATCGTAAGCCTTTTTGTGCGTGCGACTACAATCTATTAACTGATGAGTGCCAGTGTCGTGCAGAGCTGCATCGCAGTCAGTAACGCGATTCCCCACTCTTAATAAATCCATCGTTCGTTACGGGCCTTTCTAAACTTTGTGCAGTAAAGAAGACAGTAGTTCTGGGTCTCCCCGCCATCCTGCTGCACTACCGGCCGCCTACAGTACTGTTTCGCCAGGGTAGTGTTTACCGTAGACAGCCTACGAGTAGCCAATTGCGTGCTGTCTATGTCTACTCGTATGTTATTTTCTGTCTATGGTGCTTTCACGAATGGTTTTGCGTCGAATCTTATGTTTTTGCTGGTTTCACTTTCTAAAGGCTTGCACAGCGATTTCGCTTTTTCGATTTCGATTTTTCGTAGGCAAACCACCTGCGGAGGCGGTTCTAGCGAAAGGCACCTCAAGTACGACTCGTACCATACGAAATTACGATTTAACTTAATACACGGTTATATGTACACCAATGCACAACACACCACGGCAGACAGGTGACAGTACTTTTAAATAGACAATGGAAGTCACACTTGCGTCAGCAGTGTTGTACACTGCCTACTCTCTGTGCTCTATATTTGTCGCTACTTTCTCGACTCTTTCATTCAGTTGCCAACCAGCTGTAGCCAGCCGGTGCAAACGCGTACACCGGATTAGACTTCCATTGTCATTCTCCCGTGTCTGATTGTGAGACGAGGAATTTTGGCAAACATTTGCTCAAGCGCATACCTGTTGTGGAAAACTGTTACAGCCTGTGGAATACCAGACTGACTAGCAGTGTGGTGCCCGTAGAGGTGCTGGTGTTTTTGCTTTTCTGATCGCTTTTCGCGTGCTGCAGGCCTGCAGTCACAGCAGCCAGTTTCTGAGTTTCAGACTTCACAACTTTTTGATTACTAAGTAATCGTTACTTACTACAGTAAGGTTTCATGCTAAGATGGCCAAACATTTTGGAAAGAAGGTTGATTTGGGCCAGCCGCGTTCGCCGTCTCCTGAAGCAGATGCATCCACTGTGACCTACCCGAAGCACCTGTCAGCTCCATCATCTCCGCCTCCGGATCCTTTTTCGCCAGAATCGCCACAGCACGGTGGTAAAAGAATTAAAGGATTTTTTGAAAGTTTTCAGTAGTACCTTCAAGCTTGCAGAAGACTCTGTAAAAAGACCAAGAAAGTTTGGAGTTTCCATTGCTTTCTTAAACTGCTACAGACTGCAAGAGTTTTTCTTCGTTTTTGCAGTATAGACTTCAAAGTCTGAACTTCGTTGTTTTTCTTTATTGCCAGGTTCTTCTTATGCAGCAAACCGTTCTCCCGTGTACATGACATTCGACGGCGACATCGTGGGGGATCTAGGCGGCGGCAAGAGCGTCCGCACCATCAGCACCCTTCCCGTGATTCCCCCCTGCCCCCCGAAACCAGGGGTCCCAGCGCCCCCACCCCCTCGCGAACGCGCACCCCCCACCTTGGTCCCGCGTGCTGTGATGTCAGCCCATCGCCCTCTTCCATCATTCGTGCCACTTGGTCGTCCCGTGTTTCGACCGACCATCACGGTCCCAACGCTAACTGGTCCTCCCATAATCCAACCAGCATGGATTGCTGGCGTCCCTCTCCCCACACGCGGGAGGCTGGCACCCCTCCCTCGTCCACCGCCCCCCGCACCCATCAGAACCACACCCGTTCCACGCCCAGCGCCCCCGCAGCCGTGGTTAAGCCATCCCCAACGGGAAGACAGGTGGAGGGGACGCAGTGTCCCCGGATTCCGTTGGTACCTCCTTTTAAAGTGGTCTCATCTTCCGCCGTGGTTAATTCCGGACGCGCTTCAATCTCGTCGATTTTTAGCAGCGACACTGAGAAGGAGGGAAAGGGCTACGTTCCATATCATTCCGGAGGGCTGATGTTGGGTACGCGGGAACAACCACCGGACACCCGGAGATCTCGCTCGCGATCGCCGCGATACAGTCGGTCGCGCAGTCGTTCCCCGCAACGCGATTCGCGTCCGGTCCGGCGGAGAAGCCGAAGCCGGTCCAGTTCGGAGAGCAGCCAGTCCCGTTCCCGGAGACGACAGTACCGCCGATCGCGGTCGGATTCGCGAGACCGCACAACGCGTCGAGGCACGCGGTACTCGTCACCGCGTCGTAGTCGATACTCTTCGTCGCGGTCGTCTTCACGAGGCAGACGTTCATCGTCACGCGGGAGACGCTATTCGCGGTCGTTATCACGGACCAAACGATATTCGCGTTCGCCGTCACGAGATCGACGTCGACCTCCTCGTCGGGATCGATCGCCGTCCAGCGATGACCGGAGAAGCTCGCAGCGCTCGTCACGACGGAATCGCTCATCGTCGCGGTCCTCGCGCTATCGATCCCGCTCGCGATCCGTTTCGCGCGGCCGTCGATCTCGTTCGCGATCCGCTTCGCGCGGTCGCTATCGATCGCGTTCGCGGGATGTCTCACCAAAGAGTAGTTCCAGCAGTAGCAAGCGGCGCCGCTCAAAATCACCCCGGAAAACTTCGGAGAAGCGCAAGGATAAGGAAGAAAGTCATTCCTCACCGAAGAAGAAATCAAAGAAAAGTGGGACAGTCGTTGTACCGTCAGGCTGAGTTTTATCGTTCTGATTTTATTTGTTTGCAGGCAAGAAAAGTAAGAAAGATAAGGGCGGAGTGTCAGGAGGCGATGTTACTGCGGCGCAAAAAGCCAAGCCCACGGACACAGCGAGTTGGTGTTCCATTATCACGGAACCTATTTCATGCGACAGTGGACCAGTAAAGGGGGAGGAAAATGGTATGGGCTTTCAGTATTTTCAGAGCACTTTAATTACCGTTGCATTCCTGAATTAATTGCACAATTTATTTCAGCTAGTTGGTAGTAAAAAATACGGATCATGACAGCAGGGTCTGAATACGGAACACAGACGATTGGGATCTAATTTGTTAAATTACCTATATACATGGGAAATACATAAATTAAACCAATAATTGAAAAAATTTTTGGGAAGTAGTAAGTTATGGTTACAGAAGGTGTAAATGCAATTTGTTATTTGTGCCATATGGCAGTTATTACGAGTACAAGTACGATGAATGTGGATTCATTGGTACAGTTTGCCGTCATAACGTTCCTCGAATCGTGAGCATGATGCATAGATCGGAAGAGATTTATTAGAACTGTAAAAATTAATGTGGAAACAAACGGAAATTGCCCTTCCGTTTTTCATTTAGTTTTTGAAAGGTCACCGGCTGTCCCTTCTTTCTTGCAGGTGTCAGCAACGAGCAGCGCGGTACTGTCACTACAATCAGCAAGCTGCCAGCCGAAACTGCTTTGAAAATGGAGGAACTGTTTCTGCCGTGGGTGCAGGGCTTGATCGAGACGGATACGACGGTGCACGAAGACGAACGACGAGAAGCTGCTGCAGAACTGGAAGATTTCGGTTCCATACACGACGTTTTGATGGATCTCGAGGGAGAGGAACTGAAGGAAACGCTGGAAGAACTGCAGCTGTGGTGGCCTGTTGATGATGTCCAGATGACTGTGGAATAAAGGGGAATTAGCTGTTTGGATCGGTAGCTAGGGATTGTTTTTTTAATGTTTTGTATTTTGCCGATTTCTCGCTTGAGTATCTTAGTTTTTCGTTCTCTTAGGGACTAAGCGGATTTTTTGCTTTTTATCGTGTTAATATTTGGGGTTTTGACTTCTCGGTTTCTAGTTGACTGGCTTTCTTAGAATGTTCCTCCCTGCTTAATGAAACGCAGATCTTTAATAAAAAATCATGTTATGTTTTCTTAATCGGTATCCGTCGCAAACGTGCTTGACTTGTAGAAGGATGGAACTGACACACTTACCCGCACTGAGTCGCACACATGCTGATCGAAATGAATTATGTAAATAGCGCGAAAAATGCCAAAAAACAGCCAAGGCCAGGTACTAAAAGGCGGTACTAGTGGCATAGCAGTATTAAAGCACAGACAGCGTTAACGGGCAGATCACCGGACTAAGCAGTTTCCAGGGTTGATGATTAGGTTACCGACGGAGTCTCTGAATTAGGAGACTCTGAATCGCGATAGCATAACAGTCCCGACGCTCCACTCAGTTTTCACCCGGTCTTTTTGTTGCTGCTGCAGGGATGATTTGCCATAGTATACATAACGATACCAGCCTGTATCATAAACCCCGAGGAATGGATTATATAGCAACCGGCACAAATTTTTGAACAGCACAGAGATTCTTGCTCGGCTTAAATACCTCGCATGTGAAAGCTTGAGTCAAGAATCGCGATTGCGATTGCGCTTTCGGGATAGCTACTCGAGCAGACGACATATACTTTCCTGGAAATATTCTGATCTTATGGGTATTTCGTATTGTTAAGCTTTTATCAGCGATTTTTCTGCAGTCTACTGTTGTCGGTTTGAAGTATGTTTTTTTTCCGAAACACGATGAATGCGCGGCAGTGCCACTTAAGTTTCGATCTTTTGCGGTGTCATCAGCTCATTGTGCGGCAGCACTTTACCGGCTTTCTGGATATGTCCTTGGCCAAATACGGTGATGTCGATAACGTATCGTATGTGAATTTTGCTACACCTCCCTGCAGTAAAACTGCCTAATCTTGTTAAATCGAAGGTGCGAAAAAGCACAATAATTTTTCAAAGCGAAAATGTTGAATTCGTAATTTTTCAATTCGTGTTTATTTCACGGTCGTGTGCCGGAATTAGGTTTCTTATTTGGAACGCTTTAGCGTTAACGTGGCTGGCCGGGTTGGCAGTGTTATGGTAAAATGTACCTATGTGAATAGGTTTATTGACTAGTCAAGGTCATTCAAATTTCAGGCTAGTTATAAATAATTTTAATCTGCTGCAGCTACTCTGTAGTTCACTCACGCCGTTGACCGACCATTGCCAGGTACCAGAATGTGCAATCACTGTGTGAATACCGATCTGAAAATTGGTGCTTCGCAATGAAATAATTCAACTGAGAAAAACTAATCTCCTGGAAATTTTTGTGACCGAAGTCTAGCATGGCGATAACATTAGAAGTGCTGTCTCCGCTGCGGCGTCAATCGTGAGAAGGGTGCCAAATACAACCGTACAGATATTCTGAATTTATGCGCAAAACTGCTAACATCCGCCGAAAATCCAGAAGCGAAATTGGATATCTTAAGCGCGCCCAATCTGATGTTCCTTGCAGGCTTGCACTAATTCCTCGGGATACTTCTCTGCCAATCGCGTAAAGCCTGAATTTCCGCCTGGAACAAGTTCAGCGCAGCTCTGCGTCATAAACTCATGGTGAACCGAAACAAATATTCTTCGTACTCCGCCTGTTGGCACAACTTTGATTAACGCTCTGCGGTCTCAGACTGTCTAACTCTTCGCATGAACTGGTTTTCATGACCCCATGATTTACCTTGAATCCAGCAATCTGCTCCCTTAAGGCACACAAACTGGCATCCGTTCGTCGGCGTTCTTCCTCGCTCCGGCACTGCATCATCTCTTCCATTGCCCTTAAGCGATGTTTCTGCTCATCCTGCACACGACGAACCTCCTCGCGCACTTGCTCAAGCGCTTGCCGCAATTTAAAATCCAGTTCTTCACGGCTGCACATTTTCGATGCACCAGACAAAATAAACAGTATTAAACACCGGACAACGTCCACAAAAATGGAACTGTGCAGCCATGATCCGTGTGTGGAATTTTTCAGGACTGAGGCTTTTCTTAAATAGTTCTCATCTTGTAGCAGCGGTGAAACGCGGATTTCCAAAACCTTCCCGTTGACTTTTTATCGAAATGGGATAAGCTCATAATACGGCGCACCTCTTGCTTGCTAAGCGTGGCCGCTACACTGCTCCGCACAATGAGGATAAGCTCGCGATAGCTAGCCGAAGAATGCGGGAACTGCTTAACCTTTGATCAATAGCCTGTGCGTATGTGCCGAACAACGGTGATATCGGTTAATCGCCTAAAGCATTACGCGGCATTATGTGCCGAACAACGGTGATATCGGTTAATCGCCTAAAGCATTACGCGTCGTTATTGCAGTGCACCGATAACGCACATAATAGTGGTAAAACAGCGATAATTATGTTCAGTTTTGAATTAAGGAGCGCAACCAACAGTATGCCACATTTACGATTACATATGAGTAGTACGAGCGATATCTCGCTATCAGTCATCCGCCGTCAGGAAGAAGTAATCGGCTGCCCCTATCTCCGCTCTTTGAATGTTTTGACTGCTCCTAACTTGGATAACCAAGAAATAATCAGTGCCGTTATGAGCCCAAAGTTTTGGTAAAAGTCAAGCAACTCAGTGGGCCAAGGTGGGGCGTCAGTTAACTTAGGCATTTCAGCAAGTACAGACTGTACTCGTATTTGAGGCGTACAGTCCATTTCGTTTAGGTGCGAATCTTTTCTGCCAGTTGGAGAAATCTGCTAACATATCCAGCTTATTTTTAACTCTGGCATTTCCTGGAAATGCTTTTTATATGGGGACCTCCGTGGTGCCCAAGCATGACTTACAAGTTAACAGTAAGGACAAAGCTGAGTTTCGTGTGACAGGAACGTCATCGAAGTGCAGTCTGACTTTACTGTTCAGTGTGTACTAATAAAGTTCTTACCGCTGCATTGTTTGAGCGGTGCATCGTTTGTTTTCTTAGAATCTCTTAGCATCAGAAGTACAATATTATGTCAGTGACGTAGCTAATTAATTTATCTCAGTGCAGTCAACCGTACGATACCCATACGTATAAAAAACATCCCAAAGGTACACACACGTCGCGCAATAGTAAATTGCTTTGCTCCTCCTATGGAGCATCATCGTAAGTTACGCAGCTGTTCTCGCTGCCGTTTTAGCCTCTCTTCCTGCTGCTGTCGCTCCATATCGTATTGCTGCCGCAGCGCTTCCCGCCGCTGCTCCATATCCCGCAGTGCCGCTTGGGCCTGGCGCCGTTGATCCTCTAGTTGCCGTTTCATGTTCTCCATCTGGTCGGCATGCTGGTGGCGTTGTCGTTCGACGGCCTCTTCCAGCTGCTTCTTATGGGCGTCGGCGCGTTCCAGGGCCTGCTGGTGGGAATCTTCTGTTTCCTGCTGCGATGCATTCCTGGCTTGAAGACGCCGGAATTCCACGTCGATCTCCTCTTCCAGCGCCCGGATCCAGGGTGCGGCTTCCTTCCAGTCGCGTGACAGGAAGTCCTGTCCCGGCCCTTTCAGGCATGACTGCCGCAGTTCGTTGTGCAGCTGCAGTAGTTGTTTGACCGGCAGTGGACCATTCTCAAGTGCCTGCGAAAATCGAAAGACTTTCAGCTGTAGCGTACCTTTCAGCTGTTATCGAGAGTCCCCGCACTTCTTTGTGTACTTCTATACGTTGTAGATAATGCAAAGCTATCAGTAAAGGTCAAAGCATCTTGTCGTCGTTTCTAGCTTAATCCAGAAGGAGAATGTTGTGACCGCTAATAGTCCACTATTACCTTTTCCATGCCCCCCACATAGCGCTTGAACGCGGACTCCTTCTTCTGCCGCATTTCCGTCTGCTCTATGTTCTGAAACGTTTAGTATGGCTTTAAGCGCATGTCTGCATTTGCGTATTAGCGACCCTGAGTGTATTTTGTCGCTACTCGCTAGCAGCAAATCGGGGAAACGGTTGGATTCAAACACGACGTACGGTACAGGGTACATACAGATACCTTCAGACCATTATTGAGACCGCCTATTTTTTCCGGTCCAAAAATGTCTCTCAGGCGTGCAAAATGGATTTTCTGCAAAACCGTGGATACGTTAAGAGTCAACAATCAGCGGTGATTTGGTGGTGGTTAGATATTTTTGTACCGGCTAATCGGAGGCTATTGCTAATTTTTCAGGTATCTCGACGTCTTTTTCATTAGGAACGCTTTGGATGTATGATTTCGCAAAAGAAACATCGGTCACGCAAGTCAATTTTTTACAACCGCAACCATAAAAATTAGAAAGGAAGCGTTTTTAGACAAGATCACCGTAATGCTCTATCATAGCCCATCACAATCAACAATTTCTTGTCGTACGTACTCTCAGTTCAGAAGCAAAACCGCCGGCGTTCGCTGCAACTCCAGGGGCGAACTGAAAAGGACGCATATATGTTCCGGATACCACACGCTCGAGGAACTCCTTGGCAAACTGCGCAAATTTTGGACTGACATCTGCAACATATGTAAAGTAACAAGTATTGCGTAGCAAACCGAAGCAAGAGGTCATCCGAACTCCGTCAGTCGTGTGGCAAAACACCATCCGAGGCCGAGTTAAAGACGACACGATGCTTGCCAAACGAACGGAATACCGCGATGATCTTTGCGCATTTCAGGGTAACTTACACTCTTCAGTGACACGGAAGTCCGGGTCATTTGGATCGGCAGCGATCTTCGGCATGCGGAAACACTCAATCGACCGATACGCGCGCATTAGCTCGTTTTCAGCGGAATGATCCGTGAAACTGAGCGCTTTCTGGAAGTACAGTAGATATCACGATCAAAAGCAGCAAATTGATTAAACAAATTTTTCTTTAGTGTGTTTCCGTTCTGTCGTGATTTTAACTGAGCGCTAAGCTACAACGGCAAGTAACCTTTAGGTATTCCGCTCCCGCCGCCCAACCATAATATTCTCCGCCAAGCGACGCGTCCCGCAGTAGAATGATTAAATCGCGTGACAACGCATCGTGACCTGTAACCAACCAACCAACCATCTTGCAACGCGGAGATAGTCGGGAAAATACCCATACTCTGATCGCCTGTTATCAGCTTGGCAAAGCTCGCCAGGAAATTTATTTGTTCCCGCTCCAGACTCCGAAACACATTGAAAATCTATGATATAAACGTGTAATGATTTTTTCAGCAGACATTAGCAGGTTTGCAGGTTCGGTTTACGTACCGTAACGCAGCATAATCGCATTGTCAGTTGAAACAGGAGGCTGTCTGTATCGGCTGAACTCTCCGGATCAAAAAGACCCTGTGTATCTAACAGGAATACGGCATACTCCTCACCCGATGTTGTTTTAACGATGACTGGATGCAGATTAACCCAGATGCCCTGGGTGCAACCTTCCATGGCGGCGGATGTCTCGAAACTGTCCTCAACGGCGTAATTCTCATACAGCCACGACGAGACCTCCATGGCGCTGGCATCTGTAGATAACGGTTAGTTATAAAGCCTGTCACTCCATCGCGCAGGATCTGTACTTCTTACCATCGATTCGCATCTAAAATAGGCAAAAAAATTGCTGTTGAATTTAGAGCGCTGTCTGTGCAGTTTATATGACATGTACAAATTCAGTCACAGACTCACAGATCACGCAACAGATGGTACAATGCCGGTAAGAAAACAAAATGAGGCTCCAGAATGGCTAATGCACATAGATTGCAAGCGTAGCGTAGGTCACCATGACGTTAATTTTTCACGGAAAACGGAAAACGTCGATCACCACTCATATCCGTGACCGGATCGCCCAATTCGAGAACGGCGAAATCGTCGGTGAAGAACCCACAGCTCTTGGCAAGTTTCGGCACGCTGCTCCCGATGACGAGATTACCCGCCGCGTGGGGATTCAGATTGACGACTTCAACGTCAGCGGAGCGGTACGTACCCTGCTTTCAACCGACTCTGTAGCTGAGCCCACTCCGACTGTGATAGAGTCTATGAAACTGAAGCATCCAGCAGCTCCGCTACCCACACTACCGACCGATCCCACAGACGCTAATTTAGTCCCTCTTAATCCCGCTGAGGTTTTGGCCGTCCTCGAGGCGATGCCACGTGGCAGCGCAGGAGGTTTAGACTACCTGCGCCCGCAACATCTGTTGGACCTAATCGGCGCTAAAATGGATGACGCCGCGTCTGATTTGTGTGACGCCCTGACGGACCTGCTCAATCTCGTCTTAGCTGGTAAAGTACCCAAGGATGTTATTCCCTTGCTCTGTGGCGCTCGACTCGTTGCCCTATGCAAAAAGGACGGAGGTCTGCGTCCAATTGCCGTTGGAAATGTATACCGTCGCATTGCTGCCAAGGCGGTGGATATCCGAATTAGGGCAGTAACATCGGAGATTCTCCAACCGCACCAACTTGGCTCAGGAGTGAAAAGAGGAGTTGAAGGAATTATCCACGGAACCAGAGACTTTCTCCTTCAATACAACGGTGACGTTAAGGCCCTTCTCAAAATTGATTTCACCAACGCTTTCAACTGCGTGTCGCGCAAAGAAGTATTGCGGATAACAGCCGACATCATCCCGGAATACTATCCTGTTCCTAGGAGATGCAGTCATTTCCTCTCAGTCTGGCGTGCAACAAGGGGATCCTCTCGGACCAGTTTTGTTTTGCTTGGTACTGCAGTTTATTATCAACAAACTGAACACCTACCTGAACGCGTGGTATATGGATGATGGTACGTTAGGAGGATCGCCATCGGAAGTGATTCGTAATTTCCTGCTGCTGATAGAGGAAGCCAAAACTATTGGACTAGAAGTAAACATTGCGAAGTGCGAAGTTTTCTTGTGTGGTGGCACGGAAGCACAGCGTACATCGGCCGCTTACGACTTCACCAATTTATTCCCTGGGATAGCCATTGTATCAGCTGATAAACTAAACTTGCTCGGCTCCCCTCTTCTACCAGCCGCCGTAATCCCGATGATCAATGAGAAAATCAGCCAGCTCGGTGTTATGTGCGGCCGCTTGCAGCTAATTCCTAAACACCAAGCGCTATTCCTGTTGAAGAATTGCCTAGGAGTGCCGAAAATTGTTCACATATTGCGCACCTCCCTCGCATGGATGTTTCCACAAGAGCTATACAGACTCGACCAGGTATTTCGCGAGGCGGTCGAAGCTATTACCAATGTCAGGATGGACCACCCAACATGGCTCCAGGCCTCCCTTCCTGTTCGTTTCGGCGGTTTGGGAATCAGACGCACCGAGAAGCTAGCTTCCTCTGCCTACTTGGCATCGGCTTCTTCGTTGCACCAACTGATTTCCAGATTATGCCCGACACTGACAGCAACGGATGTCACCGTCGCCACGCGAGCCTGGAAGTTAGAGGCTGACACTGACGAACTTCCGCTGGACGCTTTCCGACACGTCCAGAAAGCTTGACCAACCCTGCAAACATTTTCGAGGCTAACCGCACTACGGACTTCACAGGAGGAAGTCGCGCATCTCAAGGCGGTATCAGTCCGGAAGCAGGCGTGTGGATCCATGCATTACCGGCAGCTTGCTTGGTAATCTGGGACGACAACGCCTCATAACACGACTACTCCACATGCGCGGTCGACGAAGACGGACCTACGGAATCAGCGCAGAAATTACCCGGGGCCTGAAATCAGCTGGCTTCCCTTCGAGAATGGAACCAAAAGGTCTATCCGTGAAAGATAAGAAAAGGCCGGATGTGATCACCCTTATTCCGTGGAAGCGCGGAAAACCGTTGGCGGTGGATGTTACCTGTGTGGACACGCTGGCGGCCTCATATATCGACCGCACTTCCGTGACTGTCGGCGCGGCAGCTGAACTCGCGGAAAGGGGAAAGCTAGCGAATCATGCCTGGCTGCAACCAAGGTACGATTTCGTTGCTGCAGCCATCGAAATTTACGGACCTTACGGGGACGGAACTAAAAAGCTAGTGGAAATGGTTGGAAACGGTATAGCGACTTCCACTGGCCAGAAGCGGGCGAAAGAGTTTTTTAAGCAGCGAATATCTATGCAAATACAACGGGGAAACGCGATTTGTGTAATGGGTACGATCCCCGATCAAGATAGCATAGAGGAAGTGTTTCTGTTATAAATGCTGTTTCGTTTTGGTACATAGTTTGTACTCGTATCATGATACTTATTAAAGGTTTACCATATTTTTCAGAAAGTGGAGGAAGTTAATATGATATTACTTCTAAAAACTTCTAAAATAGAAGAAGGCCTTGGGCAGATTTTTTACTCATGCGTACCAAACGTTGTAGGTATCTGTATATAATGTTGAGCATGGTGGATTTGCCCTCGCGAAATTTCCCGGCAATTCCCAGCGTAAAGACATGCTTATCTTTAACGTCCGGTTCGGAGAGACGGTTAGCCAGGAGATGCGCATTGTTGAGCAGTAGTCGATTATTCTCAATGGCCGCCAAGCGCACCTTAACGTGGTCAATTTTAGCTTCCGGCTCTTCCTGTCCATCCATTGCACTATGTAGAAATCAAAATATCAATTACCGTTATAGGAAACTGAAAAAGTAGCACGGATGGTGTGTCGGTGACCTATGACGCTGCGGCCGCTATGTGACGATTAATTACGGATTAGTAATTACAAACTAGGAGCAGTCAGAAACGGCAAGGAGGGGAAACAGGTGCAGTTCTTTGGCCGTTAAAGCTGGATGACTAATACACAGCTATCACATTTTATGGAACTATAAACGTGGCTATTTGTTGCGCTCCTTAGTTCCACACAGGAAAATATCGTTTCGTTATGTGCGTTATCGGTGCATCACAAGCACGTTACATAAGGCTGAATGCGATACCCGATAACACCGTCACTGGGCCCACACGTACTGAGTAAAGGTTAAGAATTTTCCGATTCCTTGGTTTGCTTACTTATTGTCTTGCAAAATTGGTCATTGTGTGGGGCAGCGCAGCTGAATAACTTGGCAAGCGCAGATATAATATGATTATCAGTGCTCGATAGAAACCGACGATGGGAAAGTTGTTATAAGCCTCGCGTTGTTCAAACGCCGCTGTAGATTGTCTGTTGTTAACGAAAAACGCCGGTCCGGAAATTCCACAAGTGTAACGTGTCTGAACGTTGGCCTACGCAACGGTATGTGAATATGTTCGGTAGCGAAAGTGGGCGTTGATAATCGTCCATCTTGTCTAGTGTATCGATTACGTGCAGCGTCTTCTCACGATGACAACCTTTTCCACCCGGAAAATTTTTTTTACCGTTGACACCGAAATTTTATTCGTTCGTTGCAGGTAAACGGAAATAAGACGTCGAAAGCAAAGAAAATGGCTAGCTTTCTCGTGCCGATTGCCGTGAAAGACGGTGATGAGCTGACGCTGAGCGAAGTCGGGGGTTTTGTTGAGCGCCTCAAGGGAGATGATGTTAAAGATATTAACATCTGTCTGGTCGGCGTTGTGGGAAAGTTCCGCGAGGGAAAGTCCACTCTGTTGAATATCATGGATCGTTATCTTACTCAGGTAATTCTCCATTCTGCCCTTACTACATAATTAACTGTAAACTGTAATATTTCTAGCTTGTGGCTAATGCATTATACGTAAATGCCAAAGCGTATCAGCATTCGGCAGCTTTACATTGCAGAAAACTCTGCTGATAGCGATTAGACTTTCTCACGTTGATGTCTCTCTTAAAGTCGTAATCCACAGCCGGCAAACCCGATAATGTACATTAATGAGCATTACTATAGTATTTCGGGTTGTCCTCAAGAAATGACCAAAATAATATTATAACGCAAACATTTTTGAGAGTACTTATATTGTACGTCAGTCGGTCAGTGTACAAACGTTTTTCTGGGGCATCTTGTGTTGTTCCTGGATATTTTAAACTTTATTGCTAGTGTTATTTACATACATACATCATTTCAAACTGAAAACCATGGTGTAATAAGAGAGTCAAGGACAGTCTAACTTTACAGCGTGCCGCCGGTAATGCTTCACCAGATCCGCGAAAATACGTCTTCGGGACCGATAAGTTTGTCACGTCGAAGGAAACCGACGGATGCACGCAGGGCATCTGGATTACCCGCAACCCTTACATCATACAGGACAGCAAGGGCCAAAAGTTTGCCATCTTCTTGCTGGACACGCAGGGTCTGTTCGATTTTGAAAACAGTACGGCGCTGGATTCGGCGTTATTTTTGCTGACCAGTATGTTCAGCTCATTTACGGTGCGTAATCGTATGGTGTATGAGAACAGATCATTAACCTATCTGTTGTATCAGTATTACGTACCACGCAGTTATAGCAACATCAGACACTTCAATGCATATCGCACACTTGTGCACACTTACAGAGTATAAGAAACGTCTTGATTTTTAACCTTTGCAATCGTGCAGATTTTCAACATTATGCGCATACTGGGCAAGGACCAGCTGGATATGTTAGCCGAGTTTTCCAAACTGGCGCAGAAGATTCGCAGCAACATCTACAGCGGTACGTATGAAATCTGTAAACTTTTCAGATATTTAAAGAATAAGCAGAACTGTGGAAATTACAACTTGTTAATATGGCAAACCGAAAGACATTTAGGATTTTCTTCCAGACCATGTGCTACGACGATAATATGTATTACAGCCTTAACATTGCACTAAAATTTTGTGTACTTCTCTAGAAAATGCCCACATCTTCCAAGATCTGATCATTCTCGTTCGTGACGCTCTTCTGGGTAAAATGTCTCCTGGTTGGGAATCCGGAGCTGCTTACCTTGACGTAAGTACTCCCAATCTGTTGCCGTGCAAATCTGTCAATTGTCACGTTTATTTACAGCGACAGGTATATTTGCTGGGTAACTGTTGGTTGTTCAAAAGAGCTTGAAGAGTTGTTTTATTTGTTCTAGGTATTCGATATCTGAGTTTAAGTGTAAATGGCATTTGCTTGTACAAGTTTAAAATAAAGCTACATTTCTCGTATAATAATAGTGTCTGCATTTCTCCGGTAGAAAAGTCTGAACACCACAAAAAATGCTTACATTATGAAAGAAATCACCAAAGCGTATCAACAACTGCGCTGTTTCCTCATGCCGCGAATTGCCAATGATCCTGATGACCAAGAGTTCAGCATGACGGAAGAGCGTACGAAGTTTTAGATTCAGTACAATATAACATATTTTTCCTAAATCAGCTCTTACTTGTTAGCAAATGCGTTTCTGTTTTGCAGATATTCTGCCCGATTTCCTGCAATACGTTAATGTGTTTCTTAACGAAATGTTCGGCGTGAGAATGTTACGGCCGTTCCAGCATAAGGACACTGTATACAACTGCGGAGCATTTGCCGGTTTTGTTGAGGTACAGACTAGCTGTCTTCTCTCGTTATAACAAACACTCGCAGTCTCGCACTAATGTAAAAGAAGTGTGCTTGTGTGTACGTGAGTAATGATCTACTCGGAGTCTCGGAACTTTTCAGAACAACTAATTTGTCGATAGTTATTTATGCAAGTTTCTAGATATATTTATCAGCAGAATAGGGCAGCGGTCAAATGTCTTCAGTACACAGTAGATCTTTGAGTCGCACAGTAGTCGCGAGCTGTGCACATAGTAAAATGACATTTGCGCGGTACGAAAAAAAGGCCGCGTCATTATAAGTGAAAGACTATAAAATTCTATAGTTATGATATGTACCGGGTGGCCGAACAGAATGGCGGTCTGCTTTACCAGCGTGCGCTTGGTCTGTCAGATGCCTGATTGACATCGTTCTAGTGTCATTAGAGAGAACAATCTTTACTGCATACAAAAGTTAAAATAAACCGACATTGTACAAAGGTTTAAATTTTTTATGAATTTTTTTCTAAAGGTGGGTGGGATTGACGTTTGGCCAAGAAACGAAATTTTGAATTTACCCATTTCTAAACAAAAATTGCTGCTGTTCAGTTAAGGACATTAATGTGGCTCTCGTTACTATTTTGGGTAAAGGGGTTGTTTTTAGTTTTTTTACTGTAGGGAACTGTAATATCCTGGCTACCGTGTTTGACCAATACAAGGAATAACCGAAAGCCCGCACCCGCAATTATCGTGAAATCCACAAGGAGGATTTTTGAAAGCAGATATCTGTCCAGTGCTTTGACAGCTCATCTGATTCAATCTGATTTCCGCAAGGGCAATGTGTTAGCTACATATAAAATCTAAACCGGCATTTTTTGCCACAACCTGTCATGCAGCCAAAAATTTTAACACACTATACCCATAAAAATAAAGCAAAAACATTGACATTTTTTGGAAAAATCAAAAGTACGCTGGCGAATAACTCGTCCAGCACGTGCAGGATATCCACAAGTTTTTTACTATTGAAAAAAGATGTGTTTCTCTAAACGAAACAGTTGAAAGTGTTCGAAAAGTCCATGCAGGAAAAAAAACGCCTTGAGATTTTAAGTTTTGCGAGCTGGCCAGAATATATTTCGACCCGACTTCGGGTGGCGCCATTTAATACGAGCACCGCTAAATTTTTTGAAAAACGTTATACTGGGTTTATTAACCAATAAAATTATCTATCAAACCAGTCTAAGCTGTTTACGGTGGGTGGGGCAAGCGGTTTGCAAGAAACCGACGAAAAACGGAGCCCGCCATTTTGTTCAGCCACCCGGTAGATAAAATTATAAGTGATATTATAATTTTATCATTGTAACTGATGCCGCTTTATGGTTATTTGTCTCGTAGCACATAACAGAATTATTCGTTGGAGGCAAGATTCCCAAAGCCGAGAACATGTTGGAGGTAATGTTATAATACTCGTAGTTCCCTTTTGCCTGGTTACACTTGAGAGATTCCCTGCTAATTTCCTAGGCAATGGTTCGCTTTGAACTGCAAGTGGCCGTGGACCTCGCATTCAAGTATTACCGATCGAATATGACTATGGTAACTATCCAAAGTCGCTGACGGAAAGCTGGAACGCATAACAATGGTCCTTATTGGTTGAGTAGGTCACTAGCCAGGGTGTGGACCCGGAAAAGTTGAAGGAGATGCACGCACTGTACAAGGAAAACTGCAAACTGATCAACCAGAACGAAGTGGCGATTTTGGCTCGCGAGCCCATCAAAGCCAAACCGTTCTTGAAGAAGCTGGATGAAAGTATCGACGAGGAGTTTACCGGGATCGCCGCGGCCAACGACCAGCGTCTGCAGCAGGAAGCGGAGCATCGTGCCGAGCTGGACAAACGGCAGCACGAAGTAGAGGAAACGCGCGAAGCGGCGCGGCGTCAGCTGGAGGAGCAGAAAGAGTCTATGCAGAAGATGGAAGCCGCGATGAAGGACATGGCAAACAAAAGTGCGGCTGAACGCAAGGCAGCGCAAGACGCCTTGCAGGCCGCCAAGGACGAGTTCGCGAAAGCAACGAAAGCCAATAAGGATACGGAAGCTAAGCAGGCGAAAGAACTGGCCGATCTGAAAAAGCAGAAAGCGGAAGACGCGGAGAAAGCGAAGCAGCACAGTGCCACACTGACCCAGTTAACCACTGAAGCCGATACACTGCGCCGCCAGCTGCAGGACGCTGTCAATACGCTATCGCACTGGAAGAGTCAAGCGGCGCAGCCGGTTGGCTTTTGGGAAGGTCTCGGGCAGGTGGCCTCCTTCGGCATATACGATCCACGCCGTGAAGCCCGCGAGAAGCAGAAAAGCGCGCAGGCCAAGTATGATGAAATCCAGCAACAACTGGCCAGTGTCACTAATCGCATTTCTAACTTGGGCAAAGGGAATTGAGTGTTCCTCCAAAAGACAGCACTGGAATTTCGCTCAACGGCAGTTTATTCATTATGGGGCCTATGGACGACAGTGCTTTGGCTTTCTAAATCTTTTGCTTTTCGCTACACTTGGCTTAGTTATTACGTCGTTGTGTACTTGTGGCCAATGTTTATAAGAATCAAAATCCGTTAACAAGCCGTGAATATTTTAATTAACAAGCTGTATCGATGAGTCATTCAGTTACAAATAGAGCATTGCAGCATGCTACACAGGGAATGGGATATCGAATGCTCTCCCCCTAACTACAGATATACTCGTACTTACGTTAAGTCGAGTGATCTCTGCGCAATTACCGCCACGTTACCTTCTGAGTTGCGGCTTTTCTTATAGAAAACCTATAATGTAAAACCAGGTGCGTAGCTGAATGAACTTTATGGTTTTCTTCCGGAATACAGCAATCAAGGGGTAACTCGACAACAGCTAGACGCGGGGTAAAATTCGATAGCATTTTACTTATAGCATATTTAGGTGCATCCGGTATCCCTTTCCTTGTACCGCAAAGCTTTATCCAAGTCTCACCTTTTAGGAATGTAATTCTTGATCATTGTCCACTGCTTTAAAACGGGCGCGGCTCCGTTACACGAAGGCAATAAATTCACCATTATCATTATTAGGAAGAAGTGGTAAAAAAATTCTGAGATTCACATTTTATTTATTTAGTTTTGGAAAAATGCCGTGATTCTGAACGTTCGGGTTCGTCTACAATATGGTTAAGTGGTTGTTTATAGCAAAGCTTCAGGAAAATAATGCAGTCATAGTTCTTGAACCGTTGGACAGCATAGAGTAAAAGCTTCCTTGAATAGTAACAATTTCGCTGGATGGAATATACGCAGAATGGAATACGTTGCAGCAGCTACGTTACAGTGCCGCTAATTAAAACTCTAAATCGCCATCCCACGGTTCCCACCCATAATAATCAATCAAATGCATTCGTAGATAATTTTTGTAATAGGCCAGCAGTGGAAAAGCGTGTGAAAAGGCGTACATTTACAGACAGAATTAAAAAGCCGATAATTATACCCGCTAAGGCGCTAACCAAGGCATACTTAAACTTCTACAAAAGATACGTACGTACGTGCTAGATATGAATTTCAGTACTTCTATACATAACTCACAACCTCGTTTGAATTGACACAAAACATATTTCTATGGCACTAATTCCTCGACCGAAATATCAGTGTGATCAGGGAACGCAGCTTGGAAAGTGTTGTGCGCAGTTAAATGAGCGGTAAATGTGGCTCAGCAGATGCCGATTTGCGGATACTTCTTCCGTAGTACACTTAACTTCCGCCACCGGCATGTAGCATCTTTCGTACTTTTGAATGTAGCTGCCAAAACAGACGTGGATTAAAGGCACAGCTCGAGAACTGCTGCAACAAAGGCTATTGTTAATCGTGCAATTCGTACCACATACCAACAGGCTTCCCATATAATTCTCGGTTTACGGAGAAACAGTTGCGGACTGCTGCTCTCGATATCTTTGGGAAGGACGGTATACAAGATGCCCGGCATGCATCGCTGATGATCTTGCTCCATCTTATGGACACAGCTAAAGACCAGTTTACCAATCTTGTACGCATTGGAATGTTGACACATCTGCGTTAGTGCAAGCCCACCCTCGGCACCAGTGTGCGCATCGGTATAATTAGGGGCGATGCAAGTGCGAACGAAGTCATGGAAACTTCGAGCCGTCATCTGTACAATACTGAAAGGAATCAGCGATCAGTTGGCAACCAGTTGGCAAGCACACTCAGCATACGCTCTCCGTATCCTTGAATAACTTATTCCTGATTACCATGACTACATTAATTAATATTAATATTTTCGTAGAAAATGCTGCAGTTATACCCACTCGCAAATGCGACTTAGCTGTACATCTGTGATGTTCCCTCGTGATCTACCGAACGTTAGGCTTATCCCTTCACGGGAGAAGCAGAATTCAACCATCGGCATGAAGCCCATAACCAAATCGTAATCACTGCAACCACCACCGATTTCTTTTTCCAAGTTCGCATCGTCGCACGATTCCTGCGATTGTACAGCAGCTATAGCGAGGAGGATGCAAAATACCGACAGGCTCTGCATTCTGTCCAAGATAATCGTTAAACCATTTCTGTTCGGACCCCCAGTTTATAGCGCAAACTGATGAAAGATGGGCGCAAAAACCGATTGAGTTCACTTATAATACCACAACTTGCACACTAGTATGAAGCGTACGCAGTGACTGGGGTAAAACGTAAACGTGGCGCAGTACGACTGGAAAATAGCCATAAAGTACAGATAGTGCCTGAGCCTATTTACTGTGTAGACTTTACCATGCCATTATTGGTTTGTGCCTTGATCGTAGGGCGTGGCCGTTTGACTGAAGCTCTTTATTAGGATGGTCTGTATTAGGTTTAGGACGTTCTTGTATTAAGCGTTATATTAAGCGTTATGAGCAGGCAGCCATGCTACACGAAGCTTCGGATGGCACTAGCAAAGCTCGGCTGCTAGCTGTTTCGACTCCGGAGTCAGGCGCCTGGACTCACGCACTTCCATCGTCTTCACTCGGAAACCTTTTGGATGATGAGTCGTTCCGGATCGCCGTCGCGATTCGGCTTGGCGCACCGGCATCATCCGATCACCAGTGCAGATGCGGAAGCGACGTTGTTGCAGACGGTCACCATGGCTTGAGCTGCAAATATTCAGCGGGAAGACGGGCGAGACATGACTGCATTAACGACATCTTGCGACGCGCTCTTGGCTCAGCAGGCATACCTGCAAGGACTGAACCGAGAGGCATGCATCATGAAAACGAAACACGTCCCGATGGTATCACTACCTTCCCATGGAGAAGGGGACTGTGTTTGGCATGGAATGTTACTTGTGTTGATACTGTCGCCCGATCGTATTTGGATCAGACCAGTGTAAAGGCCGGGGCGGCAGCAGACCATGCCGAAGCTGAGAAAGCAAAAAAGTACAGTTTTCTTTTGGGGCGATATGAATTCACGGCTGTCGGCTTTGAGACTTTTGGTAGTTTTGGTACATCTGCCAAACGATTTGTTAACGAGATTGGGAAGAGGATTTCGCAACAAACCGGCGAGATTCGTAGTCTTGAGTTTTTGAAACAGAACATCTCTTTAGCAATTCAACGCGGTAATGCTGCTTCAGTAATCGGGACCGTTGAGAATGTTGTTTTGTTTAACCGTAACTAGATCTTGATATTGTTATCACGCTATTGAATTAAAAATCACTACAGCGTTATTCAGATTTATCACTTTCGACCATCGTGCATTTCCGCCAAGGTTTGTGGTTAACATGTCGACTGGATTATCATTATGTGATCTCATTCCAGAGCGTGGGAATGTGACACAGTGTAAGAGTTGCTGTTTTACACTACTACGCATTCAAACTAGTACATACTGGTCGTTACAAGACCAGTATTAGTCTTAGCACTCCGCAATTGCGAAGTTCCACGCAGTGGTTTGTATTGTACACACTCATCAGATGTATTTCTACCTACTATAAAGGTTGCACACTAACTAACTGAAAACAAAAAGCGCTTAACGGTTATTGCAGTCTTCAGAACTTCAACAGTACTACGGTGTATAAGGATTGTCCAGTTGCATAAATTCCATCGAATACGTTTAGGCTATACCCAAAAAATCGTTAACAGCCTTCTCAGGAAGGGCAGTTGTCCCGCTAAAAATAATGATACGAAGCTCCGCTTTGTTCATCTACATTTTGATACAATGCGTGCAATTGGGCTCGTGCAGTGAATATTCCATTTGCGCATAGTCGATCTGGTTATGCGTCCAGGGAAAAGGTTTAACGTTGCAGTCAATGGGGTAATAAACATCGCGGCGGTCGTACGGATAATTACCACGAATTCCTTCAAAGAAGAAGACTTCGTACCATGAGGCTTTTACCATTAAGCGGGCGTTGGTCTTCCTCCACAACCTCAGCCACGCAAACGTACAGCCGCAGTGCAGTCGGTTCAAATACTGCCGCATAACTGGCACGAAGGAGTACATGAAATGCAGTTTAGTTTCCATCGCCAGCAGCCGTAATGCCGGTAAATCCGTGAACGTGCCTTGTTCCAGCGCCTGAATAGTGGAACGGTGAAAATCTAAGATGCGTAATTTTGTGTAACTGCTCGGTGCGATTTTTGCCGTAAAATCTCTCCTGGTGATATTCAGGTTGTAGCAATGGCTGAAGCGTAAGCTGATAAGATTAGGAAAATACAATCCGGCCATGCGCTGTGTGGTAACGGGGCTGTAGCAGAAGAGGACACTCATTTCGATGATCTGTCTCCGGATGGGGTTGAAGGCGTCCCGATCCAGATGGGATCCATCATACACATTCAGAACAGTATAGCGTAGCGGATAGCGAGCCATCGCCGTGCTCAAGTGCAGCACAACCTCATCCGTAACGTCTTTGTCGCAGGCTAACTTTAGCCAGGGTTTGGACGTACAATTGACTAAGGTCCATTCCGAGTCCTGACAGTGCACCGCAGCAACCAGATTACACTGCTCCCGGCTGACGTAATCTTTAGCGAAGGACGGCAGAGGCTCGCCGCCCTCCACATTGGCGTCCATGACACTGCAGTTATATGCACTGTATACCTTCAGCAAGTCGCGCCGGCTGAGCGAAGCCCTCTGTCCCATCGGTGTCTGCGACCACCAGAAGATAATGTGTAATACCAGGGAAACGTTAATATGCGTTATAAGTGGGCGTTTGTAATTAATATGCGTTATAAGTGGGCGATCTTCGTTTGTAACCGACTAGAACGGTTAAGGTTAAAATTAACGTCCGTCCTAAATCTTGCCCAACCAGGTTATTGCATTGTTCTATGCCACCAAGTGCTGAGTGCGTTTTCAAGCCGGACACGTTAATCAGTGAACGAATTTCAGCCGAACACATTCAATGCCGAACAGAACTACCGGCTCGAAAAGCTCAAAAAACAATCACAACTTGACGGTCGAGCCAATACGGAAATTCACTGGATGGACAAAATGTACGGTGGACGCCTTTTTGACCGTCCGCTTTGCCTCGTTTAACTTTAACCAGAACGTCCGCCAGATGTTTTGGCTGTCCGAACGTTTTGGTCGGTTACATTCGTTTCTTCCCACGAACACCGGGCTACTGGGTTTTAAGCTTGCGTTCGTACAAGAAACAGCTTCGCTTCGCCGTCGCGTTGCTTGTGATTCATAGCCAGGCTAATCAAATGGCTTGGATTGGTTAGTTAATTGAAAAGGGTATTTAATTCCAAACTTACATAGCACCTTTAACGTATCAACAGTAGTTTCTATTCTCAAGTATGGAGATACTCTAAATCTACATGTATGGCCGACCCAGTTTATGGAAGTTATGTGTTTGATTACACTAATGGATTTTTTTTAGGAAAAACTGACTCTGTCTGGCCGCGTTTTAGAACATGAGCTTTCCGATTATAGCAGTGCCTTTTGTTTGTTCTTTCGGAGGTTCTGTACCGGCATTGGTGTATCCACTTTATGTGTTTGTGGTAATGTAGATCTGGAACCTGGATAATTTGGAAGGGATGCGGATTTTCATTTAGACCAACTAAAACAATTCTTTCCGCTCACCTTCCGACCTTTCTTGGGAATCATCACCGGGATACGCTTAGATTTGGCGAAATCATACGGTCCATAGTGCATAATGGATTGGATATCGTACGGTGTTCCGTACACCGGCATCTTGTGCAGTATACGGAAGTGCCGTGGCATGGAGCCATTTATTGCGTGGTCAGCATAAATTAGTACGTGTTTGTCCCGATCGGGACGCTGATGCTCATGGAACAACCCCACAGCGTGCAGTACCATGTGCTGAAGGAGACCGCGCTCGGCACATTTTGGGGTTACCGTGATAACCTGACGTCCGCCTTGTTTCCCAACGGGTGATTGGCATCTGCAAATAAAATTCAGCTACAGATGGCCAGGCATACTGCTCGCATTGTCCATACCGCGATCCCGCAGAGAAGGCGATGTAGTTTTCTTCGGTTGTCCGCTTCTTAAATGTGATGCACGAAGTTGTTTGCTGCACGATGGCTTGCAGCGCAAGCTCAATCTGCGTAACAGTAAAATCACCTGCAACCACAGACGTTTTACATAATATACGCTGTCGCTTTCAGTGCCCTTTGGTGCTACAGCCGTCGGCCAGCCAGTACAGTATCAGGTGTTGTATCTGTACTCGTATGTAATGTTCCCTAGTGCAAGGAAGAGGTCACCACTTGCTAATCGGAACTGCTATAACTTGGCAACCATAAACGTACCCAGATTAGTGGCAGCTTCGTATGGAATATTTTTTCCGTTGTTCGGCCACAACTTGAAGCTTGGCAGAGCTCCAGTGGAATACTCTTCGCTGTCCGGATGAAGGACTTGGTCATCAAAAAATGTTCCATTGGGACTGATCATTGTGGTTAACTGGGATCGTCTCTCGTTAAGCGCCTTTTGATGGATTCGTTCTTGCCAACCTATCAATGGCGATGAGTAAACACTGCAGCGTCTGTCAGTATTGATTGATAAAGAATTTCTATTACGAGAAGCGGCACAGATTCCCTTTTCCTAACAGGTACAGTACTAAAGGTAGCCACACTGGTACTAATTACGGTTGCCAGATAACTGGAAAATCCTTTTCCCCTTTTCCATTCCCCGCGACCGCGGAACGGAAAAATATTAACCTATTACGCGCGCATGATGGCAGGGGATAAAAGGTGGCAGTGGCACCTGCCACTGGCAGCTGCCACCGGCAGTGGCAGTTGCCACTACGAGTTCTGGCAAGCGATAAAACGTGGCAACTGACCGAATTTTCAAATGAGATGGACGTGCCATCGAACGATAATCTCTTTCTTAAATAAAAAAAAAATTCAGAAGGGAGTAAGTCACCGGGTAACGCTAGTCAATGGTTCTGGTATTTGCTGTGGTAGCGGTGCTGGTAGTGTCACCGATGCCCGTAATGGTAGGTATAGTACATAATTCTTAGGTACTGGTGGTTTTAATGGTGGTGGTGATGGTAATGGAAGTGGTTACGGAGGTGGGACTGCATCTTTTCAATTTTCTCAGATTTCCTTGTTTTGCTTGGTTTCTCATTGTCAGGTGTCCCAGTTTTCCTACTTTCCTAGCTTTTTCAGCATTCTTAATTCTATTATTTTCCTTAGATTTCTTAGGATATATTTTGCTGTTTCTTAGTTTATTTCTTAGATTTTCTTAAGAAACAACACAAAACTTAAGAAAAAAATTTGAAGACCTGAGAAAAGAAAACCTTAGAACAACCTAAGAATATCCTAAGAATAACCCGAATTCACCTAAGAAACCTAAGAAAATCTAAGAATAATCTAAGAAGCAACCATAAGAAAACCTAGCGAGTAAGAAAACAAATGCATAAGAAAACATCCCAAAAACAGATGAGAAAATCAAGACAGCTAAGGAATTTGGGTTTCCACCTTACCACTACCATAACCGCTGCCAGTCCCATTACCACCACCAGTACCGCTACGCTTACCACCAGAACACGTACCATAAATTAGAACTACCCGGCGACTTACTTCCTTCTTAATTTTTTAGATATTTTATACAGAGATTATCGTTGGCTGGCACATCTATCTCATTTCCTTGTTCCGGCAGTTGCCACGTTATATCGCTTGCCAGAACGCGTAGTGGCAACCGCCACTGCCGGTGGCAATTGCCAGTGGCAGGTGCCACTGCCACCTTTTATCCCCTGCCCGCATGATTCTACTTCAATTCACATAGAAGATGTGTATGGAAGATGTATTCGCATTTCGCACAGAAAATCTTTGTTTGTTTTTTGCACGGATTAGCCTACGCACCACACCTAGAACAGTCGTCTGCCCGGTTACAGCCCGTACAGGAACATCCGTGGAGACTTTCGCTTTTGTGCATTCTCAAACTTTTTTTTGCTCATGAAATTCTGTAGACAATCTTTTGGGCATTCTTTCATGATAATCTATAGACACAGTCACACAGATGATTTGTGTACAACGGCGTGAAACCCGTCTGTGCGCGCATGTAGCCGGCAGGAAGGTTGACGGGTTGATGGGTGGCGTTCAGTGAAGGTCATCAACCTTTCAGTAAACCTTTCTCGAAAGGTCATCAGCCGCTTCACCGGCGGTTTCCATTGATCTGCTTATGTCTCGCTTGGGACGTGACATGCGCAGACACGGTTGCGCTGTCGCATGTTAAGGCCCCTTCCACCACAGCGGGAGAGGCCGCCGTGCAAACAGAGTTAAAGAAATCAGGACTACAGTAAAACCTACGAGCATTGAACACTTGCGGTTCCAAATTTTTCGTTCAATGTAGACGCCTGTTCAATGTGCAGAACAGCTGCCCCCCGGGGGGACGCCCCTGGAGGCGGTGGTTCTGAGTCTACGAGACGCGCCGGTTCCGTACACCGTTCAATGTACACCAGTGTTCAATTTACGCGAGTGTTCAAAGTCACAGGTTTTACTGTACTCATATCTGGACTGTTCATATCTGGCCGGCCGCTACCTGTTCGTCCCGATCGCTTTCGAAACACTGGGCCCATGGGGACCTTCGGCGATCACCAACATCAAAAAGCTTTGAAAAAGACTGCAACAGCACACCGGGGAAGCACACTCGCACGAATTTCTGCGACAGCGTTTGTCCATCGAAATTCAACGGGGAAATGCGGCTTCAGTGCTGGGCACGATGGAAGGACTAGATAAACTAAGCGAAATTTTTCTGTTATAGTTTAGTGTGTTTCTTTTTATGTTTATGCATTGCGTTTTTGATTTGACCAATAAAGTCCCCACATGTGACAATCTTGTACTAACAGAATGTCATAAAAAAATTCAATATGAGAGTGCGCGAAAAAGAAATTTTCGTGCATGTAAAGTACGAGTACATGAATTTGGTACCATGTATAGGGAAACTTTCCTTAATACAGGCCAGGGATAAATTTGCTCTCGCTACCCTTACCTGTGGGAAGGTCAGCACCTGCGCATGGTTGCGTAAGAATGGTCAATATGATCACGAGTACTGTAAGAAGCAACAGTGTCGCCATTAGCAGTCACTGACGAAGTACAATAATTAACGATGACCAGTGAATTTTGCCTAAAACGCTACTCTAGTTTGCCTAGAACACTAGGTACTCTAGTTTGCCGTACGTAAAAGCAAACAAGCTGCACGTTTATTCATGTTATACATACGGTATAATGCTAAAGCTGACGTACAGTATCATTCTCTGGGGCTTCTTTGCTCTTTTGCCGCCCGAAAACGTGTGAGAACACGGATAATTAGTGATGTTATCGCAGGTAGTGATTGCGCTCAGCCGTTGGGCACGTGCTCACTAAAACAGACGCTGTTCGGGTTTTATCGGCGACAACAATCTTTTGACAAAATAAGAGTGTCTAGACAGGCCAGTTCCAAACCGAAGAGCTAACGAAATAACTAAGTACTACTGACAGAGAGCAGCACGCGTGCACCGTAGTGGCGTGGTTTTAGTAGTGTAAAAAACTGACTTGTAAGTACAACCAAGAAGTCTAATTAATACAATTATTGTCACAACATGGCTGCTCAGTGTTTACAGTTGCATAAGGAATGTATGTACCCCGACGATACCGTCACTAGCTTACCACGATATAATACGCTGCGAGTTCGAATAAAATTTAATATACTCGAAGTTTCGAACCCATGATTATAATCTATTTTCCCGCTTACCGTTGGCCTTTGTCTCTTTCTTTCGGCTGGCTGGTCACCGGTTGCACGTATAATAATATAATACCAACACCTTTCGCTGTAAACAGAATCATACCTGCTTAGTGCTTACGTACAATCTGTAGCATGGCATGCAGTAAAATGCAGTTGATGCTAATTTTTATTTAAACGCGCAATTTAAGCTGAAACGGTGAAGCAGCTCATGTTACGTGTATATTAACGTAAATATTTGGAGATATCAAAGGAAGCTCAGTTCTGAGTATGGGAAAGATAACAGCAATTATTGTGAATATGTTTATTTTCGCGCTGTTTTGGGTGTTACTGATCAGAATGTCTGCGTACGGCTCGGATTATTATGACACCGATGATTACGAAGACTATGGCGATCCTCCAGCAGGTAACCTTTAGGTTATAACCTCTGCATAAGCAGGGATTCCAAACCAATTGAGCTAATAACTTGACTTGCCTTTTGACTTCGGCTTTACAAATAGACTGAAATAGTTAACAATTTGAAATTACCGGGACAATTATATCTGTGCGCATTGTATTTGCGCGCACTGTGTCATTGGAGTTGTGGAAGCATACTGCAAGAAAACTTTATCAAGAACAGTGGGGAATGCAGTCCGTACAAGTACTATCATAGCGGACGTTGTCCTCAGCGTCCTTCCTATCTAACCATATACCGTATCGGAAGTTGGGTATTCCTCACATATTCGACCGATGGCGTCAGAGCGATGCGGTGTGGCTTTTTAAGTTCGGGAACAAAGATCAATTCCCGCTTCCGGTCTACCTTCTGGATATGGTCCAAGTAAAATATAACACCATGAGCTATAATCTGCGGAAGCCGGCACGGATCGAGGTTGCACGGGCAAAGAGAGTAATCGGAGAGAAGACTTTGAAAATGCGTATAAGGCGTCTTTTTGATAAAATTCTTGCTGTTACCTCTAAAATTCTCGATGCCAGTTCTGTACCTGCGTTTAAATTTCTACTCAAATCTGTGGATGTGTCTTAGTTCTTTACTTGCATTTAAAATTGTTTTTTGTTCGACCAGACTTGAAGTCCCCTTTGGTTTGTCTGCTCTTGTGCCGTAATAATAATAATAATAATAGCCGACCATGTCCGACTGTCTACGGTTTTCCAGATTGGCAGGATCGAATCGATAACAAAACTCTAGTCGAGCGTCTCTCGGAGCGAACTATTGGCCCTTCCATGCAAAACGATATTATTTACAACCATGAGCAGCTTCTGCAGCTGTACGAAGAACCTCCTATCAGGCCGGCGTACGGAGCCATGGAGGACAAGTGCTCAGGTGTGTAATGGCGGCACCGATAATGATTATTGAGTCTACAGATAACTGTAAGAAGTAAATCAACAGAAGTATCGGTATCGCAAATACGAGAATACCGCTGCAGGCTTGCCCTCTAAACGACGTCTCAAATTCGAAGCAAGCCTGTGGAACAAACAGTCGGGCTTCACCAGCATACCATACGTCATTGACAAGGCATTTTGTGAGTTCTAGCCTGTAATGTAAAGGCGCAGCCATCTTGTTCATATCTGTATAAGAAAGCGATTAATTACATTTTACAATTTGCTTTTCAGACGAGCAAGATGTATTTCTAATCAAGGAAGCTATGGACGAAATTGAGACAAAAACGGAAAAATGCATAATGTTCAAGGGGTGGACAAACGAGACAAATGCCATAATGTTCAAACCCGGAAAAAAGTAAGCGCTAATGCAGTGTAGCCTAATGTTTCCATCATTGTGGTCGATGAAGTGGTACACATGAGCGCCAAATTTATGAATGTGCGATCGTACGGACTCCGCGGAGTGTGGCTTGAAACATCCGAAATCAGCACGGATGGTGGTCGTGCGCACGGCACCGATGGTGGTTATTCACTACTTCTGTGAAGACAAGGTCACCACAACAAGCCCTCTACATACACTTCGTGAATACAGACCCGTGCAAAAATTAATTAAATTTGGGACAACTTTTATTATTACTAATCTGATTGGTTTGATAAATTAAGCATAAACAACCAAATTGCTACGCACAGCAGGAAAAACTTGCGGTTGCCTTTATAGCAGTTGCAGAAAGACGCTGCGGTGTTGTTTCCGCTACCAGTACCATTGCCAATTTACCAGCAATGCTATTGCGGCCATTAACTGTCATTAGTAATCCTAATGGAAATTAGGAATTCTGCGGTAGGATTAGCTGTGCTTCGGTTTGCCATCCTTATTTCAGCCTGATCTGTTAATGTGGAGATTGCACGGAAAATATAAAATCCCCTACATTTTATGCTGTTTTATTTTATTTCTTATAGCTGCTCTTCCTCGGTGGGCATGCAGACCACCATGCAGACGATCTACCTTGACCAATCACGATGCATGGAATTCGGCATCATTATACACGAAATACTCCACGCCCTGGGATTCTTTCACGAACACTGCCGGCCGGACCGTGATCAGCACGTGACAATCTGCATGGGCAATGTCGCTAATGCGGCCGATCACAGGAATTTCCACATCATCCATAATATGTCAACGTATGGCGTTCCTTACGATCTGGAATCAATAATGCATTACGGAACGTTTGATTTCACCAGAGATGCGTCTCTGCAACTGCCGGTCATTGTTCCCAAGCAGACCGGGATCCGCTACGCCATGGGTCAGCGAAAACGACTTAGTGCTCTGGATGTGGCCAAATTATTAGCAGCATATCAGTGCTTAAGATCGGCTCGGGAAGAGGATGGAAATGCCGATGATCATGCCACTGGATTAGAACCGTTGCCTGAATTTTCTTTGGAACCGATGGAAATCGGCCAGTGTCGTACGCAGTTCAACTCAGACTGCAGTGAGTCCGGGATAACAGTACATAATTGTTCAGTTTGGGAAAGTCTGACTATTTCTTGTCACACTGATGTGAGCGTCGCCCGGTTGCGAGAAATGGTGGATATCATGGCGCTGCCACCGCTTCGTGGCATAATTATTAATCTGGCTGATAGTGTGATTGCCGCTAGCACTTTTAGGCCAATCAGGAAGCAGGTGATTACATTCACGATCTGGTACTGCCAGGCTCCGCGTACGACGGCCAAACTGAAGGAACTGAAATTTATTCGCTTGGTGAGCTTTGCGCTAAAGAGATGTCGAAACCTTGTAGTCAGGAAAATTGATTTCAGTCAAACCCGACAGCTACGCAGGATTACATTGTATAATTCGACCATTAACGGATTGGAAAAGGGCACCTTTATGGATTTGATAAGTCTGAAAGTCTTAGCGCTAGACGGCTACGCCCGCGGCTTGACATCTTTTGACGACGAACTGCAGCACAGCATGCAGCGTATTCACTGTTCATGCACATTTTCCTGGCTGAGATCGTGGTGGAGCATGAGAACACATTCCAAGCAGAATATTAATCAAGGAGCATTATATTCCGTTCCCTGGCCTAACCATGCGATCAAACGGGAGGACATTTATTTACCTATCAACTGCTCCGCAGAACCGTTTCCCGTTAATCCTCAGTCGATCAATTTTACACAGATGGAATTCTCCATCAATGAACCAGACTGTTATAACGAGACCGCTATCAATGAACCGATGGCGACCTTAGTTGAAGATCCGGAATTCTCGATGGACCCCATGCTGACCGAACAATGTGCACTGCAGTTTAACGACGCTTGTGAACCCCGTTACGTCACCGTGGAGAACTGCACAGTATACCGGCTCCTGGAAATCAACTGCAATCGATCCGTAACGGCGGATTTATTACAGAGTATGGCTTTTGCCATGGCACAAACCCCGCGGCGCGGTGTGTACATCGACGTATACGACGGTGACTACCTGGATTACCACATTTTCCGCCCAGTTCACATTCAAGTCATTTTATTTAAAGTATGGGATTGCGTGGCCAGTCGGACGAGTGCCAAGCTCAACGAACTCCGACTAGTCAATGTGCTGGATGTCCAGTTTTACCGCTGTAATGGTATGGTGCTCAGAAAAGAGGACTTCAAGGCTTCCCAAGCAGTAAAGCTCCTGGCCTTTTGCAATACCACAATCCGACATGTTGAAGAAGGAGCATTTAGCAGCCTGCAGCGTTTACGCATACTATCGCTGGAAGTGGGACTGGCCAGTATCCATACACTACCGCGCCGGTTCAGAGACTACGTAGCCAAATTGCACTGTGACTGTGAGTTCGCTTCGTTCCGCGTATGGAGAAAAACCGCGCCCTTGCTAACGGATGCTCGCTTTGGTGAGATTTATTCCGTGTTTAACACGCTGGCAAACAGTCCCTTTGAGAAAAAGGATATCTTCCTCCCTTTTGACTGCAGCTTGCAATCATTCCCGACTACTCCGGCTTCTCTAAATTTTAGCCAGGAAGAGTTCTCCATTAACGAGCCCCACTGCGGTACGAAAGTTAACACCGAACCAGTAGTGGAGTTTTCCAGTGAACCCATGACATCAGAACAATGCGGATTGCAGTTTACTGCTAACTGCGCTGCACTGGGAGTAACCGCGGATAACTGCACGGCATGGCGTTCGCTAACCATTCAGTGCTCCCACTATACGTCCTCCGATGAAGTGAGCGCGATGACGAAAACCATGGCGAACCCACCGCTGCGACCTATCAAACTGCATCTGTACGATCAGTTGATTTCAGCTTTGCCCAATACTTCCCTAAACGACATTCGACTGCAGATTGTGATAGTTAACATAGAGAACTGCGCCAGTCAGCGTACCAGTGCCAAGTTAGCTGAACTGCAGCTGTATTCCGTACTGGTATTCAGGTTGCAAAACTGTACCGATATTGTCGTCGAAAAAGCCGATTTTTCGTCGCTACGAGAGTTACTGATTATCGACTTTTCTTCTACCACTATCGCTACACTGGAGGCCGGAACGTTTTCTGATTTACCGCAGTTGCGTGTATTGACGCTCGAGCGAGAATTAGGTGAAGCGGTACTCGTACATCGCAGTCGACATATCATAGAATATGTCGCAAAGATGCACTGCAGCTGTGAGTTTGCCTGGTTTCGTCGTTGGTGGAGAGACAACCAAGACCTTGTACGAGAAGTGGAAGAGTCAGAGATTTACTACATGTACAACAGCTACAGAAGTGCTGCGTATGGAAAACAGGATATCTACCTGCCGGTAAACTGCAGTCAAGTCAACATTAGTGCCAGTGAACTGCCGGTTAGCTTTAGCCAGATGGAGTTCTCTGCCGACGAACCTAACTGCGGTTAGCGTTTTCTCCGTTTTTTCTTTTACATATGCAATGGAGTATCCAATTGTACTGATGCTCCATCCACATCAACTTACCTGATCGGTTTTTGTGGCACCGACTCGCCCCGTTGCATCGTATTCTGCGGAGGCATTGCAGGCTAACTGTGAATTATCAAATTTTCGTTACGTTGAACAAATCTGTAGCTAATGTGCATTTATGACAATAACCAACGTACAGATATGTACCACATTCCATAACATACTCCAAATGAGCTTCGTTACTTTTGAGCGAATATAAGCAAGTACTCGTATAATGCCGCATTTTGATGAAGAAGAGATGCGCATTGGTTTCAGTGGTCACTAGGAGCACTTATCCTTCCACACTACTGCTCATCGATAGACTAATTACAAGACAGATAATAAAGGAAATGCGAATGCGTTGGAACGAAACTGACAGAACTTTTTTCGGATAATTTGAATAACGCCTATAATGTCTGCCTGATTTATGCAGCAGCCGAACGAATAGCGGCGCCTGAAGGGTGTGCGATCCGAATTAGGAACACTTAAAACTTCAAGGAAGGTAGATAGGGGTGCAGCAGGTCATTCGTTCGTGGTATTGTGACGGCACCGTCATTAGTCGCACCATACCGCGGTTAGTCACCGGGCGCCTACGTGCAAGTATGCCCTGCACATTCCTGCGCGGTTATATGACATCACGCTAACCGCATATTATATCATCATGCCGTCATGCACTCTGTCATTGGCTTGTCGCCACACCAGCAGACTCTCTGTCGACTCCCAACCTACCTGTACACCTGGTTCACCTAGCATTAACATTGTTATTGTGGGCACAGTGTTATATTGAATAAAGGTCACTGTCATACGGGTGCGTTGCCTAATAGTATAGGGACACACAGGGAATACGTAAAAGGTCATCGTCGACCTGCACAGGAATAGCACAGATGCGCTTACAGGAGAGCTCTATATTGCGACAGAATTAAACGATTACTAATACAGAGATACCGTGGACGACATAAAAATCACCATCCCATAGAAGCATGTACAGTTTGCGCAATCAGTATACACTACACATATCGCAATGCCCCAATTCGATAGCCGCTATCACCGATGCTCCACCGTATTTGACCCCACACCGGTCCATACGCACCGAGTAAAGCCTATCAAATCCACCTATCAAATCTCCCGTTCGTTGGTTTGTTCACTTTATTGTTGGCAGCGTTAGTCACCGTTTGGAGAAGCGTCGCTGCCTCTCTGTAATCAGCTATTCGTTGAAAACAGCCGATGAGAGCGTTTTTACGAGGCCCGCGTTTCAACGCTGCTTTTGGTGGCCACGTTTTACAGCACAATCAACTGCGATATCAACAAGGGCATGTCGTTCGCACATCGAGCTACATACACATCGATATCGTATAAATAAAACGTCCGCAGGCATTTAAAATCGTTCTCTCGTGCAGTGGTGCATCGCAGTCGGAAAGTCTTCTGGTAGCGTCCTACGGAGAAGACGTTCTGTAGATATTGTATCTCGCCTGGTAATATTTGGTTTAATTTTCATCCTGAATTTGGTAGATTAACAGCAGTTTAACGGTACCAATACGTTGAGCAAAAAATGGCTAGCTTTCTTATGCCGCTTGCTGTGAAAGACGATGATGAGTTGACGTTGAGCGAAGTTAGTGGGTTTGTTGAACGTCTCAAAAGAGACGACATTAGGGGCATCAATCTCTGTCTGGTCGGCGTTGTGGGAAAGTTTCGCGAGGGAAAGTCGACCCTTTTGAATATCATGGACCGTTACCTTACCCAGGTAATTCGCTATTCTCACCTTAACCAATGATTTGCTATAATATTCTTAAATTGTGATTACTGCATCAAAAGTGTCAGTATGAAAAAGCGCATAAATAAAAACCAAAAGAAAGCAAATTGTTGTATTCTAAAGAAAATTTGCGGATAACAGCTCCGCTGCCTTGTTTAGTCCAAATTTCATTTTGAAAAGAATATAAAAACTGTTGGTCGTCATGTCTGATCGCTTCGTGTGCCTGGTCTTTTTGTGGTTAATATACGTCACTTATAATAATTACTCAAGTTGCAGATCTCGCCAAATAGGTGCGCGTCACCCAGAAATAAGGGGAGGCATACTAACACCGATCTAGCTTTTCTTGTCGTAAATTGAATGTCAAAATAGAGACCTGTTGGTTGTTTAAAAGAGCTAGAAGAGTTGTTTTATTTGTTCCAGCTATCGGATATTTGAGTTTAAGTGTAAACGGCATTTGTACGAGTACTGTACAAGTTTTAATTCAAACTTGTACTCGTACAAGTTTGAATTAAAATGCTAGAGACAATATCCGAATTTTCGATCTTCTTCAGTGTTCGTGAAACTTTTCTGCCAAATTGTTTTGTAATTCATTTCAGAAATTTATAACATTTAGTGCATAAAAGTTCCTTTTTACAGCGTGCAGCCGGTAATATTTCACCAGATCCGACAGAATATGCTTTTGAAACCGCTGGATCCAGGGATAAGTTCGTCACTTCCAAGGAAACCGATGGGTGCACGCAGGGGATATGGATTACCCGCAATCCCTACATCATACAGGATAATAATGGTCGAAAATTTGCCGTCTTTCTGTTGGATACACAGGGTCTATTCGATTTCGAGAACAGTACGGCGCTGGATTCGGCGTTGTTCCTGCTGACGAGTATGTTTAGTTCGTTTACGGTGAGTATAACGGCTACACGGACACATAATATGACGGAACTAGATAGTGTGTACAAATAGGCCAGTACTCGTTAACATTATGCGCATACTGGGGAAGGACCAGCTGGACATGTTAGCTGAGTTCTCCAAACTGGCACAGAAGATTCGCAGCAATATCTACAGCGGTACGTCTAAGCTCTAAAGTTAAGATTCTTAGATATGCCACACTAAAGATCAAAGCACGACTGTTTGACAGTGACGAGTGACGGTGACATTCTGTACTATTAATTTTACTCTAGTTACTACAATAGCGTAATCCAACATAACGTACTTGATGTGGCTTGTGGCACAACAACAGTCAGTCATAATGTACAACTTCGACGAACCAGCGAGTTACGACGATAGTATTCGTTATAAACGAACAACCAGGCAGTACTGACTGCGTACATAATTGTTTAGAAAATGCCCATATCTTTCAAGACCTGGTTATTCTTGTGCGTGACGCCCTCGTGGGGAAAATGTCTCCGGGCTGGGAGTCCGGAGCTGCTTACCTCAATGTAAGTGAAGCCCATCTCTTGAATACATAAGTACATGTACTGTCTGTACAGCGCAAAAAGCTGGGTTATTCAGAAACTGTAATATTATTGCATCTGCTGTACGAGTACTGTAACCTCTAGAAAAGTCTAAACACGTCAAAGAATGCCGACATTATGAAAGAAATTACCAAAGCGTATCAACACCTTCGCTGTTTCCTCCTGCCTCGCATTGCCAATAATCCTGATGATCAAGGTTTCAGCATGACGGAAGAGCGTACGAGCACAAGATTCAGTATCTTTTTTCCCTAGAACAACTGAGTAAATGCGGTGTTTGCAGATATACTGCCAGACTTTCTTAAATACGCGAATGTATTTCTCAGCGAAATGTTCGGTGGAGGAATGCTACGGCCGTTCAAGCACAAGAACACAGTTTACAACTGCGGAGCTTTTGCCGGTTTCGTTGAGGTACGGACAACAGAATACTAGCTAGTGTAAATCCGCGTTTAAAACATATTCTGAGCAAAAACTGCAGACACACGGTTTTATCCGACGTTGGTTTTATCCTTAAGATTAGTGATTAGTGTCACCACATAAGCGCCGTGCTTTTTAATAATTAACCAACTAAATACTGTACGTAAATGACAACAAGCACACAAATACAACAGGTATGTAATAGGACAATGCAATAGCACACGTTGCCATGCATCACAGTTAGCTAACCTATCGGTCTGGCGCTCCAAGCCAAAAATTGTTCGAGCAAGGGAGCATGCGTTTTACAGATGTGGTTTGAGTGTCTGGTGACACGGAGACCTTGGACGCGCTTTCTTGGGGTTGCTGTTACCGTATGCAACTCATCAAGCCGGATCAAATGGTATGGAAGTACCCAGATGCCTGGGTTCTAGGTCTCCGAGGTCGCCAGCGCGTTTTTGCACTTTTGTTCAACAAGCGCAATCGGCATATTTTTCAGAGTTTCTATGCGATCTTAACCCAGCCCATGCACTAGGTTGTCAAAAGCGATTTGACTCTACGGTAGACTTTTTATGGTTCACTCTGCTTGTAGCACATCACGGAATTGTTCGTTGGAGGCAAAATTCCCCAAGCAGAAAACATGTTGGAGGTAAGGATGCAACCTGGTACTGGTAGCACTGGCTACCACATACGGTTTTATCCGGTACAGGTAGTGATGATTGCTTTAATAGGCCATGGTTCGCTTTGAACTGCAAGTAGCCGTGGACATCGCTTTCAAATACTACCGATCGAAAATGAGTGCAGTAAGTAACACATTGCTTGCCGGTTGTGGGGACGTCATCTCCAGTCGTCTCTTCCGATTAGGTCACCAGCCAAGCTGTGGATCCGGAAGAACTGAAAAGGATGCACGCTCTCTATAAGGAAAACTGCAAACTGATTCCCCAATCCGAAGTGGCTATTCTGGCTCGCGAGCCGGTCAAGGCCAAGCCATATTTACAGAAACTGGACGCCAGCATTGATGAGGAGTTCACCGGGATCGCCGCGGCGAATGCCAAGCGCACGCACCAGGAAGCGGAACATCGTCGCGAACTGGACAAGCGGCAGAAAGCGGTGGAGCAGGCGCGCGAAGAGTGAAGCTGAACGTCTGGAAGCGGCAGCCAAGTTAAAAAAAATGCAGGATCAGTTTGCGAAAGATCAGGAAGCTAACAAGGCCCGGGAAACCGCCCAGGCGGAGGAGCTGGCCATTTTGAAGCAGCAGAGAGAAGACGCTGAGGAGCGATTCCGTGAGCATAGTGCTAAACTATCCGAATGGACCGCCGAAGCCGATAACCTGTACCGTCAGCTGCAGGAGGCCGTCCAATCACTGTCGCACTGGAAGGGATACGCATCTGCACCGCTTGACCTTTTTGAGTCATTGTGCCAGCTGGTCACCTTCGGCATCTATGATCCGCGCAGCGAGGCCAAGGACGGACAAAAAAGCGCGCAGGCCAATCATGATAATGTCCTGCGACAGCTAGACAGTGTCAGAAATCGCATTGCTAATCTGGGCAAAGAAAGTGAGTATGACTTCCAAGAGAAGCGAATGTCGTGCAGCGACAGTGTATTCGTTGTGGAAGACAAACCTTTTGGCTTGCCTTACGGTTATGGAAGACAGTTCCGCTAGGCTGTGTCTGGTAAATCGACGTTGTGGCCATTTTTCATAGCGGTACAAATACAAGCACCAGTTTAGAAAGCCCGGCTAACTGGTAACCAACCATTTCGACGACACGACCAATTTCACAAATGCAGAACGAACGAGCGCACATCCTCCAAGCCTCGCAACTGAAGCTAATTTTGATACCCATTTTAACATTAGATAAAAAAAATTCATCTTCATAGGACTGTTATGAACTTACGACTTACTTTTACAGCAAAACAAACTGGTAGTCTGACTAGAATATATTTAGCCTTTCTGTCTATATTATTTTGTCCAAGCAACCGGATATTGTGAGCCCGAACGGTTTTTAGGCCAACGTAGATCAAATCGTTTGACTGTCGACTGGTATAAAACAGTACTGTACAAGAAAATTTTCTAGAGTGCACAAAGTGATGCTTTTAGTGGATGCACCGTGCCGTTAATCTTAACGAAGGTTATCAAATTGCAAGGGCAGCAGTGTATTTGCGCGTATGGTGCATTGTTTAGAGATGACTACACCCACATGCCAGGTAGTAAATTTTCGATGATGTGGAAACGTTCACCGCGGTAGGAAACCTTACCGGTGCTAATAACTTTCGGAAACACACTTAACAGCACGAAAAATGCTTGCGAAAATCATTACCGGCATGCGAAATGCACGGATACGGAAACGTCTTCGCGTCGATGGCTTTTCGCACAGATGTATGCAGTTCTAGTTGTAAGTACAGTACGTAGTAGCTACGTACCAGAGCTGACTGATACTTAAACTAAAACACTAAAAAAACGCTGACTGATAACAAAAACAATAAAATCAGAGACCCCGTACAAGAGCGCAACTCGAGCGAAAGAACATTGAGCCTATCTTGTACGCTTAAATTGTAGCGCGCACTCGCTTGTACAGTTGGACTAAAGTCCATAGCACATCCGGGATACTCGACAACAGGCCGTCACAGGCGAATCAGAAACTGAAGGCAAAACAGTTTCATCGACGTACATTTTGGCCTGCCGTCCTCTTGTTACTCGCCTGGCTTTCGCAGTTTCGCCTAATCATTGCAAGTTGTTGGAAATTTTGATGTTCCTTCGGAAGTTTGCAAGCTGTATTTCTCCTAGCTTCCTTCGACCGATACTGATACAGTTCGGTTTTGCAGAGAGCCATATACCAGCACTGGATAGAACGATATCTCTCCAGCTTGAATCAGCGAATCCATTGACGGAACAGAGCGACCGTGTTCTGCTAAAAATCTGAGACTACCATGACCGCCACACCTCTGTACTTTCGCCAGCTGTATTCGGGTTCGCGGGAAGTCAATTACGGGAACACGTTACTAGTGCGACGGGACAATGGTCCGTGGTGGTTGGGATACGTTCAGGATGTTGACAGCGATAATTTCCTCATCAACTTTGACGCTGCCACAATCAGCGCCCAGTGGATCCACTCCAGCCACCTCTGGTCACACCGTTTTCTACCGCATTCGCGAAAACTTCACAGCGGCACTTTCGTGCAGGTGGCGCTGCGTGACGAAGACCAAGGACCGATGGTATTCCGTTCGGGACGCATCAGCGACGAACCGCATGGCATGTTCTATAGTGTCGACTGCCGCACACCTTCAAGAGGCTGCCACCTTGTGCACAAGAGCCAGTGTATTGAGGACCTGCCGAAACCAGACGAAGATCCCAGTTTCTTTGGACGAACCAACGGGCTCGTGTTCCGAAAATATGTCATTCCGTTCAATAACCCGGATCTGTTGCGTGACCTGCGTTTCATGCCCAAGTTTGTAGTACGCACGTGCCAGATAACGCTTGCCAGTGGGGATTTGTTGCGGGGTGCCGGTTGTCAATTGGAAAGATCGATTAAAGGGGATACCTTGACGGTTCGCTGTGGGGAACTCCATGGGCATGGAGGGATGCGGTACACGTTCGAAGTCGTGTGTTCGTGCGAGTGGAGGTGGACTCGGTTACCTTCGTGTGCGCCGAAGTTCACGGTGACGCCCACGGGCGCAGCATGTCCTGGAATGAAGATTCCCTGAAAGAAGCGTGCCAGCTCTGCTGCACTGAAGAACGATGGAGGGAGACCGCAATCACGAGCACCAAAAATCACGTTGCTGGCATTTATCAACCCGGCAAGTTTGTGACGATAGACTCGTAATTTTCTTTCCCCAGTGAGCTCCTAAAGCTTTTAGTTAATTAGAGCTCTCCGTTCTATGCGAATAATGCGATGTTGATGTTTTGCAGAGACCGATGGGATGCGCATGGCTGACCTTTCGCCTTCTGTTCTAGCTTCTGTTCTGCTTATTCTGGACGTGGTTTCTCAGTTACGGGTGAGCCGGTAAGTGACAATGAAGCGCGGATGTGACTAGTAATAGCCGGTACACTATCATCTCTGCTAAGGAATTTTTCCTTGGTCTGTTACTGGAAGTTGTTAATTACCTATAATACGAGTATAAACGCTGAATCTGAAAGAGTTTAAAAAGTCGCTATTGCAACGCCCTGTGCATTTACTTCTGATATGTATACAGTAGCTGTAATTCTGCAGATGCGGTATTACAGGTTGCCGGAAGCGTTATTATAAATTATTAAATGAAATATTAGATGAAGTGTTGTGGAATATGAAATAAGTCTTTCTATCTAACAGTGTGTGCTCGCTATGGAACAGCATCGTCCGCGAGCCTATGAGTCACCGACACGTGACTTTTGGCATCCACCATCTCAACCTCATGAAACTCGGCGATATGGAATTCCACGGCTTAACCGACCACTTCCAGTACCGGTTGGTTGCGGTAATGGAGGAGAGCATCACCCGGCAGACGCGCAGCGTGACGCTCATGGGCACTGACAAACAGATTGATGACTGGAGAATCGGAGGATTCACGTCGAAACTACGGGCCCTGGTGGCTATATTACAAGTAAAAAAGATCCGCCTCTCCATGCTCATCATCAAGAACGGCAGCGATGCCGATAAAGTACCGTTTCTGGGACTGCGCCGATCAAACGAGACAGGGGAGTACGAATGCGAGAAACTGTCCGAGTGGATGGAAGTTTGTCAGCAGGTGGTACTGCTCAACTACACCGCGTCCAACCGATCCGGAGCGTCTTCACTCCTGGCTAAGTTGTACTGTAAGGAAGACGCGATTTGGCCGGAAGAGGATAATGTAGTGTGGCAGTGGGATGACGACGTTGTATTGAAAGTCAAGATCCCGTATCTGCGTTTTCATTTCACGGAAACCGCTGGTGAAGAGTGCCGGCGCTTCCTATCAGCGCTAAACGACCAGTGTCCGGCCGTCACGCAGCGTATACAGGAAAAGGTCACCGAAGCGCATGCGCGTTGGACGAAGACGCTGGAGTATCCCGAGGATTGGGCAGGGATACGTCAATGTCTTCAGACATAAGTGACACCAAGTTTCCCGGTTAACGGTTGACTGGTTAAACCTTCACTTCTCTGCCGTTGATTAGGTTCAGCAGTTTCCGGTGCGACGGTCCACAGTGGGATGCCGTTGACCTGACAGCCCTGGACTTCTCCATGCTGAGTCCGTTGGTAATGGCACTGTTTGACGGATACTACCGAGACAAAGACCAGCGCTAATATTCCCATCGAAGAAATTTCGATTGTTTTCAGGCGTTTGTAGAGTTTGTCTCTGGTTTTCGTTGTGAGCTTTGTACGATGCAACGAATCGTCAATCGTGGCGTTAAGAAATCTGCTGCAGTGCATCAGTCGTAGTGAAGGAATTCTCCTTTTATTGCAAATTATTATTATTTCTGCGTATAGCGATCCGCTAAAGAATACTACTCATAGTAACTACGTAAATATTGTTCTGCTGCAAAAATTTTTACCAAAGCTTAAAATAGAAAGGTTTTGAATTATTGATTGGACAATATTGAATTATTGCTTCTTCAATATTAAATTAAATTAAAATATTAAACTGCCCACTTGCCGCTGGAGCTCGAGTAGTCTCGACTGTGGAAGACTGAATTACTAAAGCGGCAAGCGCGACGGCTATTTGCTTCGCTGGTTTAGCGGGGGCTGCGTTCGGTAGGCGGGGCGTTTTGCGATGAAGTTCCTGTTGGGCGTTGGATATCACGTTAAACGCTTGAAGGCAGTGCGGAGGCAGCGTCCTCTATTCGGCGAATTGCGACTGGTACATCCGCAGTACCCATCATGCATGCGTCTAGACAAATTACCATTTGTAATTACCATGAAAGAATGGGTACTGCGAATGTGCCAGTCGCAATTCTTCGCACACTTTTTGTGGTTTCGGCACGCCCTTTTGCTAGAGCAAAAGTCCGCAAGGAAACCGAAAACTCCCCACATGGCCGAGTTAATCTTGATCATTATAGCCATAAACAACAGCGTCAAGGTCGCTTACCCGTCCTCCGATGGAGGGCTGATTCCAGCACGACACCCAAGAGCGAAAAATAAAACAACGGAAACGTCCATCTCACGATTAAAAGAAAACAAGTCGCA